CACACTAACAACAACAAAGAACTCCTCAGATACAATAGCAACGCCCTGGCAACCACCAAGAACACCCTAGCAACTGCAGAGAAACACACCAATGACCACACAAAACACCTTAGCAATCACATGACAACACCCTGGCAACCACACAGCAACACACTAACAACAACAAAGAACTCCGTCCTCAGACATACAACATACAGTAGCAACGCCCTGGCAACCACCCAGAAAACCCCAGCAACCACATAGCAAGACACAAACAACCAGCATACTTTAGCAACCACATGGCAACAACCAAAAACACCCTAGCAACACAAACACAACCAGAAAGACAATCTTAGAAATCACATTGCAACACCTTGGCAAACTCCTAGATTACCCTAGCAACCACAAAGCAGCACACACCCATTCAGGGCACCTTTAGCAAGCCACATAACAAAGGCCTGGAAATCACATAGCAACACAACCACAAAGAACACACTAGAAACTGTTATGCTTGGCTCTGTATGACACTCACTCTATTTCTATAAAATAAATGAATCTCACAACCGCATGCTTCTCAGTGCTTCTCTTTACTTCACGTGCTTGCGCATCTCAATGACGTCACATACACAGGACTCAGGGTTCAACCATACATAGTCTGTCACTTCCTTATGACCATATATAACATATTGTAACAGAAACCACACACATTAGCAACGCCCTGGCAACCACTCAAAACACCCCAAAAACCACATAGCAAGACACAAACAACCAGCATAATTTAACAACCACATGGCAACAATCAAACACACCCTAGCAACACAAACACAACCAGAAAGACAACCTTAGAAATCACATAGCAACACCTTGGCAACCACCTAGATTACCCTAGCAACCACATAGCAACACCATGGCAGCCACCTATAGATTATCCTAGCAACCACATAGCAACACACTAACAAGCACTCGGTACACAGAAACCACATGGCATCATCCTGGCAACCACCCAGAATAACAGCCTCTTGGCAACCACCTAAACACCCTTCAAACTACACAGCAACACACCAACAACCACTTAGCAAACTCCTAGATTACCCTAGCAACCACAAAGCAACACACAACCATTCAGGGCACCTTTAGCAAGCCACATAACAAAGGCCTGGAAATCACATAGCAACACAACCACAAAGAACACACTAGAAACCACACACATTAGCAACGCCCTGGCAACCACCCAGAACACCTAAAAACCACATAGCAAGACACAAACAACCAGCATTATTTAGCAACCACATGGCAACAATCAAACACACCCTAGCAACACAAACACAACCAGAAAGACAACCTTAGAAATCACATAGCAACACCTTGGCAACCACCTAGATTACCCTAGCAACCACATAGCAACACCTTGTCAGCCACCTAGATTATCCTAGCAACCACATAGCAACACACTAACAAGCACTCGGTACACAGAAACCATATGGCATCATCCTGGCAACCACCCAGAATAACAGCCTCTTGGCAACCACCTAAACACCCTTCAAACTACACAGCAACACACTAACAACCACTTAGAAAACCTTAGCAACCACATAGCAATGCCCTGACAACCAGCCGGAATGCTCCAGCATTGTGATATTGAGACTTGAACATGCACACACCAGGCCTAGTGTTTTCTATAATGTTTCACAAGACTGGAGACAAACGCAGGAAGCACAAACTGAAGTGTGTGTTTGTTTGTGTGTGTGTGTATCTTCAGTTGGACTTTGCCCTGACAGTTACTTGCAAAATGATTCACAATGTCTAAACCACACAAGAGATAAGAATCCTATTTCCCATCAGCACAAAGGCACTGTGATATATTTTTTCACCTGTTTGCAAGATTTATAACAAAACAGCAGCACAAGCCTTCTCTCTGAGTTACAATCGGACTTCAGTCTGTTGGCATAGTGTGTGTTCTTAACCCTATGGTGTTTGATGCTGTTGTGTCTGAATAGATATCTTAGCACTTGTGCTGTTTTTAAATGTGCTATAGAAATAAATGTTGACTTATCTGTAGTCTGAACCATGGAAGTTTTAAAACATTTTAAAAGATAAACTTGTTATATCACAAATTGTGAATTTACATTTAAAGAAAAGAGTGTCATAAAGTCAGAATTGTGCAATTGTGAGAAAAAAAGTTGCAATTACCTTTTATATTAAGCTTCCATACTGAACAGCTAAACATATTTTTCATAAGACTTATGCTGTCTGATACTCTTCATGAGTCTGATTTTATTGCAAAATGACAGTGACAAGAGTCTGAGTCTGAGATTGGATTTGAGATCTGTGTGTGAAACCTCATGATTAGTCATTCATGTTTTGTTTATTTACAAGTGAAATAAAAATCAGACTTTGTGTCTTTCTAAGCGTCTTTGCTCCTTGTACCATCTGGCTGAGGTTTGGTGTTGTTGACGTGACTGCAATTCATTACTAATTCACCAAACATAAACTTAAAACCCTAGAAATATGTGCAAGTGCTTTCAGTTCCTGCCAAGAACAGAGTGCAAAGAGGCGTACCGTTCACTTCTTCTGAACTATCTCTTTACCTGTGCTGAGAACTGTGAAAACAGACACGATGACACTTCAATATCCTGATCCAGACCTTAGGATTAACAGATATTCATTTTAAGAGTCTAGAACTGCATTGAAACAAGAGAAAGGATCAGGAAGAAACTGATTGCAGACGTATTCTATGAAAATGTATGACCAGATTGTGGATGCAATGCTCAAATGCAACTATAGCATTTTACATTATTTTAAAAGGAAGGAGTTAATATATCCAACACATACTCATATCTTTTCTTGTTGATGTCAAAGGTTGTTTCAAACAATCTTCATGCACAAAATGCATCTGTGATTTCTCTGTCTACAACAGGGCAACTTCAACCCTGATAACAAATCTACCTTTAGCTTTAAAGGGATAGTTCACTTTGAAATAATTTTTGGTGTGTTTTATCTTACCTCAAGGGCATCCAAGATGTAGGTGTCTTTGTTTCCATAGTATTTTCAATTTTGATATTTCTAGGTCAAACCGTTCTTGTCTGTTAGTCATATAATGGAGGTCTATGGTCACCACCTCGAAGAGAATGCACAGAGAAGTCCAAATTAAACATGATTTAATGACTCGTAAATGTAAGTACACATTGATGGCCTAAGACACGAAACAAGCGGTTTGTGTGAGAAAAAACAGTATTTATATCGTTTTACCTCTTGTAACCACAGCCACGTCCAAGTGATCTGAGGGCGCGGGTGCTTTGTGGCTGTGGTAGCAAGAGGTAAAAACGATATAAATACTGTTCGTTTTCTCACACAAACCGCTCGTTTCGTGCCTTAGGCCATCAATGTGTACTTATATTTATGAGTCATTAAATCATGTTTAATTTGGACTTCTCTGTGAATGCTCTTTGAGGTGGTGACCATAGACCTCCATTATATGACTGACAGACACGAACGGTTTGACCTAAAAATATCAAAATTGAAACTACTGCAGAAACAAAGACACCTACATCTTGGATGCCCTTGAAAGCAAAATCAGCCAAAAATTAATTTCAAAGTGAACTATCCCTTTAAGACCTTAATCAGCCTGTCCATGTATGTTTGATTAGGGTTATTATAGCTGTAAACTCTGCCCATCTCTGGTACAGGGATCATTTCTCGAGTAACAGCGTCCTCTAGTGGTCATCAATGATAACCTTCAATGAAGTGAAGTCTGCGGGTGAACCACCAAAATGACTAGTTTGCATGATGCACATTTATAGCTGCAGATCATTTACCTATGCTGATGGAAAGTTAAATTAATTAATTCCAACACTGCCATGCCAGCATTACTACGGTATTAGCCTACACACTCGCGCGCGCGTGCGCAGAGTAAATAAATTAAAACAACCCTAAAGACTCTTACAAGTCGTATTTTAGGAGGATCTGCTATTTTCACCAGCGAAACCACTTTGATGTCAATAAAAAGTCAGTATATTTACATATATGACATTATATAAAAATATCCCTCCCATTTAGGAAAGTTTTGGGCTTTAGGTTGATTTCACGCAGCCGACATTTTGAAATGGCTCCGGTGGGAAGAAAACCGGAAATGATCAGAACAACTAACACAAAACATCTCAGAATAGGCTATATGCACGCATAAGTTCCGCATTTGACGTAAGGATGCTCGTCCATTTCCGGTTGTGTAAATTAAAGCGGAGGAAAACCGGAGAAAACGGGATTATGGCAGAGTCTTCAATATTTACTGTCCTCCCGTCTTTGAAACGAAACGTACATACGTTTAGATGTAATTTTATATATAGTTATGTTTATTTAATATAATTTTAAAAAGAAGCATAAACACAACGAGGGGTGTCTGTTTTATCTGTTTTTGTGACTAACGTTTCATTAGTATAACCATGGAGTATAAAATTCAATATACATTCTCGGTATTGCATTGGACTCTATGATCGGCGGAAGTTATCGAGCATCCCTAATGCTTCACCGGAAATACCGCCGTGCATAGAGCCCATTCATCAAATCTATTGATATAATACTCTTCCACTTCCAGGACGACGATGATGACTAGCAGATCCTATTGTGAAACCTATTTATTATCAACTTCACATTGCGTGCCACTGAAAGCAGTACAGTCATAACATGACCAAACATGTGTGGATGAAGCAGCTGGAGATACAGAGAGAAACTGACACGCTCAGGATAGAATAATGACAGTGATCTATAAAAATCCCAGAGGGTAATTCATCTGCCCTCAATTAACTGTACTTCATCCTGATCTCTCTCTAATCACACAATACACATCCAGCACAGATTCATCTGGACACAAGCGTCTGCTTATATATGTTCAGGAGCTTCTTTATTCAGCAACTGCTAATTCTGTGTTTGCTGAGGTTTCATTGAGCCGCCGTGTGCTTGAAGTTGTCCTGAAACTGCTTACAGAAGCATTAAATCGAGTTCGGTTGTCAGAAATGAAAACAAAATGAAGCGTTTGATGAATCTTTATTCGCTTTTAAAGACCAACAGTTGATTAGTTTCTCTTTGAGAAATGGCTTGTTCATGTATGGATACATTCATAATCATTCGTAACATAATAGACAACTGTTAGTGGCAAATCCAAAATAAAAACAACAACATTTATAAAATATTGTGATTGGCAATCAGGAAGTATCCATATCTAAAAACGTGACAAACATGTATTTGTAACCTTTCCAACGGAGAATGAACACTGGACAAAAATAAATCGGACAAAACTTCCCATTTAGTGGATCTCACAACAGAAACAAGCAAAAACATTAACACATGATCTCTGTTTGATTTTTCACTGAATTACCACTTATACTTTCTCACACTAATCTATAAACTGACCTGGATTACAGTGCACAAGAATACATGGCATTTTTTGCTCTTTTCAGAGCTTGATAAAGAAACTAATCTCACCAAATTGACATAATGTAGTTCAGAGGAAATATTAGTAAAGCAAAAAGAGTCAATAACCAGATGAGATGCTGTGTAATGAAACCCCAGCAACTCTTACATACAATATTTCCCCATCCAGTCCTCCAATCCACCCATGAGAAAGAGAGATCATTTGAGTTTGCCTGTGTTTCGCTCTGTCGTAGTTGAGAAACCGGTGAAGAGACGAGTTCAAACGATCTCCAAGAACGGCTGCAGCTTATTCTAACCTGGGAACATCATCATCATCATCTTCATCATCACAGCCACTGAGCTCTAAGGCATCTCCTCGATTTCTTCAGCTTCTACCAAGCAGGTCTGATCGTTGGACGGGGATCTGAAGGGCGGGTGGTACTCGATCAGGTTGAGGATGGATGAATCCGGGTTGTTTCTTTGGTGAAGGAACCAAATCACAGCAGAGACAACCAGTATGAGGACCACACTGATGATGACCAGAGCCGAGAGAAGAGGACTGTTCTCTGGAGACGGATCACAAAAACAAGACTTTACATAGGAAATTACTCATTTTGGACATTTTGTGTCTTGATTGGACAAAAATTAGGAAAACCTGTGTACAGGAATACTAGTAAGTAAGTGATACTAGTAATATTACAAGCATAATTCAAGATCATACTTACTGGATGGGCTTATCCAGACTGCCTCTGAAAAACAGATCAGAAAATTTGGGGGTCAAAGTACTATTTTTATGTGCATTGATATTAAAAAATCAGATCAAAGTGGCTGATCTGATGTCAGACTCCTTGTGCATATGAAAATCTCACTAGATTGTTACAATTAAAGGAGCCGTATGCAAGATTGTGGACAAAACTGGTACTGCAATCACTTTCAAATTACTGTAGAGCGGTCTATCCTGCAATATAAAGTACTTGAAATGAACATGATTTCTTAATGTCTAGAGACATATCAGGGAAATGTATGACTAATTGAAATACATGTCTTGCATACAGCTCCTTTAATGGCAAAAGGAATCTTTAGAAATGTAAACTGATATTTCCTACTGACACACTTCAGTGTAAATAACTAGGCTAAGTGTAAATAAATAACTGGCTTAAAAACATTTTTTGGTGAAAATACTAATATGCCAAAGACTTTTGAACAGTACTGTATATGTATATGTATGTATATATATATATTAAATCCCATTGGATGAGACATTCACAGTGAGCTTTCTCTGGATATTTTAGAGCTCCCTCCTAATTTCAGAATCATTTACAGATATTTAATTTTGAATTAATTTTTTAATGAATGATTCAATGACTTGCTTAAAGACCATTTCATTACTGGGTGAATCTTTTTTTTTCAGAATCTCTTGAATGATTCATTGAGAAATTATTTTTTAACAGTCACTTGTTGCCACCTACTGGCGTAACGATTTTAATTATTGTAATAGATGAATAATGACAGTGTGTAGTTAAAAACTGTTTTTGTGATGAGATTGTGATGGTTTAGACAATAATTGTGGAGCTTCAACCAAAAGCATAACATTTATTTTTATTTTTTTGCTTGAAATAAAACAAAATATCCAAAAACTAGAGGGTAAGCATCTCTTTAGTGAGAATATCTTTCATTTTGTATATTGTGTAAAGCTTGTGTTTTAATGAGAAGCCAAAGGAGAATTTCCACATTTTGAAAGTTGAAACTAAGTAACTAACTAGTTGACAATAGGGGAGGGGGAAAATCGATTCTTAGATGCATCGCATTCTGAATCGATTCACAAATGTCAAGAATCAATTTTCTAAACAAACAAATTTCATATATATACATATATGACGTAATATTGACGGAACGCGAAAGGCGGAACTCTGAAGCACGGAAGTGCAGTGGCCGGACCGTCTGTGGCGTGCACATAACAGAGACGCGAAGGCGCGCAAGATCCTTTCTTTTAACGTCTATGGCAAGATCCGAGATCCAAACACCCGCCGCGTTAAAAGCTGATGTGTGGAAATACTTTGGCTTCAATGAAGTTGAAGGGAAAAGGAGCTGGACAACAGCCACGGTAGTTGTAAACTTTGTAGAATAAAACTAACGACGGAAACACAACGAATATGAGAAGCCATATGACACGTTTGGAGGAAAAACACTTGGCTGTACCGGTCGTTATAATATTAATTTACTACAAGTATGCTGCTAGTTCAGGCACAGAATTATTTTCCTGTTGGTTCTTTGCAATGTTAATAAAATATATTGTATGTTAATTCATTATGGGTGATTACTTTGTACTGTTTTAAAGCAAAGTATTTATAGTCTCTCTCTCACACACACAAAAAGATTCAGAGAATCAATAATTGCTTTAGCATCGAATCGCAACCCTCTGAATCAGAATCGAATCGTGAGGTGCCTAGAGATTCCCACCCCTAGTTGCAAAAGCATCATTTCTCATTTTCATTTAGATTAACTTGATGTACAAAAATAACTAAAACTGAAAAAAAGAAGATAATAATGATAAAAAACTATTAAAATGACAAAAAAAAAAATACATTTTTTTTACATTGTTATATTGTTAAAAACAACAACAACAATATCACTAAAACTTTAAAATTAAAATAAAATATACAAAACTAAAAACACAAATTCACAATTGTGAACTTACTGGTCTGACACACTACCCCATTCTCAGGCTCTTCCGTGCAGCTGATGTTTTCCCATTTCCCAGTGTTGGAGTGAAGGGCGACACACGTGTCCATGAGAGGCAGATCCGTGTCATCCGAGCCGCCGTTCTCCCAGTTATTATAGCGCAACACGCTGTTATCGTCATGCCACTTGAAGACATCTTCTGCAGAGACACGATGTAACCAGACATATTTCATACACACATTCTCAGTGAAAACAACAGGATAGTATGGCAAGCCGTTTTAGCTTTTATTAATTTCCAGGATATGAATGCTTGATATCAACAATTGTGTTTTCACAAGTGAAATGTCACCATAGGCTGCCATTCAAAACCAATTGTTGTCTTACTAGTTGAAATTCCAATTTCACATATCAAAAATACAATTATTACTAGTAAAAACCTTTATTTTTGATATCAAGAATTAAATTGTTACTAGTTGAAATGTCTATTCTTGATATCCACAATTTAATTGCTAGTAACGATCATTTTTGATATCAATAATTCAATTTTACTAGTGACAATGTTAATTTCTGATATCATGAATGTGATTGTTACTAGTAAGAAAGTCATTTTAGATATCTGAAATAATATTGATATCAGAAATACATTTTCAGATACTAAAAATTATAATTTTTACTAGTACCAATTGAATTGTTGATATCAAGAATAGACATTTCAACTAGTGACAATTTAATTATTGATGAATTCGCATTTTAACTAGTAACAATGTAATTATTGATATCAAAAATTATATTTCTCCTAGTAAAAAAATAAACTTATACAAAAATACAGATAGCAGCAATTGAATCATCCTGGAAATGAATAAAAGCTAAAACGGCTTGCCATAGGAAAGCTTTCACTGTGACATTTATTTCACAAGATCATATAATCTTTAACACATAAGATTTCTGTCGGGACTCAACTTGATCACTAAAGCCCACCTGCACAGATGAATAATAATGAAGCTATTCATAAATCAAAGAAATAAAGGTGGATATGGATTGGTAGTGATGCAAGCAGCTGTTCATATATTATGATTGACCGAATTAGGTCCTCCATTTAAAACTCTATACTCGATTATAAAAGAATAACATCATTTATAAGGTATGCACATATTTTTGCTGGAAAGCAATGACATATAGTAACTCATTCATCATTTTCAACCCAACTGCAATTCCTTATTTCACCTTCAACAAAACCCCACGCCAAATGTTTAGGTTTGGCACACTAAAAGTACATGCAAATACATGATGAACGAAACAACAATGTAACACTTGCTGAGTCTCACTCAGATGATCAAAGTTCACATTGTCCTCGGGTTCATTGTTCAATAACTAAGTGAAGTCTTTCATCACACACTGATACACACATGTGGCGTCTGGAATATGTTTCTATAGTCGTCACTTGAAAGCATCTGGACTCTGGGTGTGGATGATGTATTCTTTGAATCCGCCCCTAAAATAACAGGATTTCCTTGTGTTGTGTGACGACACGTGTGAAAAGTGCACTAGAGGAAAACAGCTCGAAACTTTAAAGGAGTAGTTCACTTTAAAAAACTTTTGCTGATAATTTACTCACCCCCATGTCATCCAAGATGTCCATGTCTTTCTTTCTTCAGTCGAAAAGAAATGAAGGTTTTTGATGAAAACATTCCAGGATTTTTCTCCATATAATGGACTTCAATGGGGACCAAACGGTTCAAGGTCCAAATGAGAGTTTCAGTGCAGCTTCAAAGGGCTTTAAACGACTCCAGACGATGAATAAGGGTCTTACGAGTCATGACTTGAAAAAAGATTTGTTCATTTTGATAAACGAGTTTGAATGGGAGAGTCACGAACGCTCATCACAGAACAGAACAAGGCAACCATTTGGGCTTATAAACCTTAAACTTTTTTAATTTATTTTTTAAATGAGCGATCGTTTCGCTTGATAAGACCCTTATTCAATGTCTGGTGTCGTTTAAAGCCCTTTGAAGCTGCACTGAAACTCTCATTTGGACCTTGAACCGTTTGGTCCCCATTGAAGTCCATTATATGGAGAAAAATCCTGGAATGTTTTCATCAAAAACCTTAATTTCTTTTCTCTTTTAAAGAAAGAAAGACATGGACATCTTAGATGACACGGGATTGAGTAAATTTTCAGTTAAAGTTTTTAAAAGTGAACTACTCCTTTAATGTGTGTTTAGCAATATAACAAAGAGACTGAGCAACTTTAAAGGACAATCTGTCATCATGTACTCATTCTCATCATGCCATTCAAACCCATATTATTTTTAGTGTAAGTGATGTCAGACCTGGCAGAGCCGTCAGAACAAACACAAAAGAACAGCTTGAACATTCGTCCATGGAAGAAAGAAGTGCTCAGAACGACATGCCAAAATGTTTGCTTAAAGTGTTTAAAACGGAAAGCATCTACTCATGATTCACTCATTTAGAAGTTATACACACTCTCAGCAACACCAGGCATATAATCCTCTGCAACTAAACAGACTGGTTAAGGTTTTTCACAGTGTAAGCAACAGTCTGGTAAACAACGCTTTTCCACAGGCGCTGGTCTGAACAGATTAGTGAAGTTCAGCTGCATTCCAGTGTAGAGACGCTGGACCACGTCCAATAACATGCTTAAGCATCTCTTCTACTGTGTTTTGGTGTTTATAATGAAAAAAAAATTTTTTTTAAAGAAAATTTGAATTAAAGGTACATTATGCAAGATTTTCTCGCCACCAGGGGTCGCTAACCTCTTACAATAACAAAGGCGTACAGTATATTGATGACGTATATTCTTATTAAGCGGAATTATGGATCTTGTCGTCAAGCTGATGGATCTTTTATGGATGAGTGAATACATTGATGTTTTTAGTTTTTAACATGACTGTAGTATGAAGCATGATTGCTAAATGTATACCAGCGGCACACGCAACGCGAGGCCCACATCATCAGTGATGTTTTTACTAAGGCAAACATAAATGTCTTCATTGAACTAAGGCCTAACCCTATCTTAATCTAAACCCTGCTAGTGAAACCGGGCCTTAATGTCTACATTGATAATATAATTAAAAAAAAATTGATATGAAATTGAATACCCCACATTTCTGCCACAATACCGGTTACAGTTTGCAATTGCATTACTAGAGTAAATCCATGGTAAATGTATGTGATTTGTAGTTGGAAAAGCCTTCTAACAGTTTGGTTGTCACTCATGTTTCTCCTGTTTTCCGCATTAGTGTTGTTGAGAATGTTATCAGAGCCCGTCTAACGGAGAGCCTTGGCACTTCCTATTAGCCCCGTTGTGTATCATCTTGGTTGCAGTTCCATTAGAATTCCACTGGAGGTGATCGCGGGCAAGAGCAGAATGAATAAGAGTCTATGGGGCTAAACGGCTAAATGCGTCTCTTTCACCTGCTTGTCGTTAAATTAACATAGATTTTATTGTTGATTCCGCAAGTTCAATATAGATTATAGGCCAAAAGTCGAATGAACGCGTACTTATGTCCTTTTGATTTCTTACAGGTTAGGCCGTTGTTGGCCGGAAAACGCTAGCATTCTGCTATTGTGTGACGTCATCACATTTTTGAATGTATTTTTAGAACAGATAAGTGAACTTAAAAATGCAAGTGTATTATCTTAGCCCTCCCTTTTGAATGCAACTTTCAAATTACTTGACAAAAAATTACATCCTGAGAAAAGTGGATTTCTGGGGGTGAAACCCCATTGACTCCCATTCATTCCGCACTCGACCGCGAGCGCCCCCGCATGGACAGAGACGTGTTACTGCAGCCAGTCCACAACCCGGAAGTAACCAGCCAGTGCCAATTCTCTTCAATTAGACATTCTCTGATGTTATCTGGCGTTGGTTTAAATCACAAGGCATTTGATTTGTGGGTTGTATGGGAGAACTCAAACGCTTCTCACTGGATCTCACAGCATTGTTCAATAGTCGTGTGAATAGTGCATGAACATTATATCAAACACTTATAGAACTTTTGTTATTATGTTATAGGGGTAAATTACATCACTATCATTTTATCGCCCAGTCCTGTCACTCTCTAGAGTGAAGGATGATAGTTTGAGGGGAGGGGTTTAAAAGGAAAAGGGATTTGTGATGTCAGCCGACACATTTGTTTCAGAAGTTGAGCAGATTATTACATTTACATTTTGATGAAAGATTATGAAAACACACATATTTTCTCTAAAATGGCATGCACAGATGAAATATTCACAATAAGAAACCAAATCTAGATCCTTCTGATGTTTAAAGAAAATTAAACTCACCGTCGCTGTCGTAGTACATTCCCAGCCAAACGTTCATTTTGCCTTTCCACACAAAAGGGCTGTAGTTAACGATGAAGTCATTCTCCTCAGCACTTTTTACCGTCAAGAGATCTAAAAATGTAATGGGAAGGTTAGTGTATAAAACAATATACAAGTTTAGATGATTATATTTGCAAAACGTAAAAAAAGCAATTACCATATCTTCCACACTTGACTTTTGCATCTCCAAAAGTGTAGCTCTTGGCTACGTCCTCATCTCCATGGATGAAATGATAGCAGTTGAGGCCGAACGGCAACCATGTTCGTCCATCTGCGGGGCAGTCTGTGCAGACAAGGCGTTTTTTTGGGTTCAACAAGTCCTAACCAGGTTTTTACACGAGGTAGCAGCGATAAAAATGTTTTGTTTTACGTTTGTTTTCATGGAACACTTGAGACAACGTTTCATAGTTGCATCGGTCAAACTCAAAAAGGACATAAAAACCTCACAAAAGTATCTTAGCAGTAGTTCACATGACCTATGAACTGTATTTCCAATATTCTTCTGGAACAAGAAATATAGCTGTTGAAGTCCACAAATCAAAAATAACACCAGACAATATGTAAATGACATGCAAAATATGCTCTTCCTCCATATTTTTGTCTTGTTTTCCAGTACAAACATCTAAACATTCAAGATTTTTTTCTTGAAATGCACAATGCCATAATATATCAAGTTTTATTCTCTGAAAAAATAATCAAAAACTAAGTGAGTTTTTGCTGAAAACGAAAAATATAACTTCTTACTCCATTGTGAAATATATTTTCTTGTTTGAAGCATAAACTAAATTAAGCAAAACTTAATATCTAATTAATTTTCTCCAGTTGGCCTTGATTTAAGGATGTTTGATGTGGATGACGTATATGTATATTTGAAATAATTTTATTATTTTTTCAGTGCGAGAACCAATGATGTTTTGATAATGACTCCAAATAGTGCCAATGTTGTATGGTAGCATACTGGTTTGCATAAGTATATGAGTACATGATGACAGGAGTTGCATTTTGGGTGAATTATTATTACTATAAACATTTAGAGGTTGCAAAACAATTCCTTGCTGATGAAAAGTATAAGTAAACACTACATGCATTTCAATTACATGCATGAAAAAAAATTATAATTTCAGGAAAATCAAAATCAATCTGCATATTTCCAGAAAGTTCGGTCACTGTCACCAAAAACCGAAACAACGTGACAGAAAACGTTTAGGAATTATTCATCATTATATTGTTACAGTATCGATAATTAAAACTAACTAACGTTATAACTAACAAAACAACGTTTATGTTGAGCTTCCCCTTTTATTTTTAGAGCCTGACTATTTTTTTCCCAGTCTAGCTAAGACAGAAGTCAAAGCTCGTGACATTGTGATGGAGAACTTTGAAGAGAACTTTGACGTTCCATTTCAGAACTTTCAAATGTAACTCAAAAGAAACAATGTAACCGTTTCTCGTGACGTGAACGAGAACACTAGAGATCTCAGATGAACTCTGATAAAGTTCAATCTTGTTGTCGCATCGCCATTAAAACAAACAATACAGTAACGAGCTTAGCGGTAAACGCGTAACAAACACTTTCTAACGCAAACTACTCACCACCACCAGACGTGTCCTCTCCTCGCGCGAAACGGCACGTGAGAACAAGAAGAACGGTGCAAAACACTGTGAAATGACGAAAACTGGACTCCATGTTTTCAACACAGTGCAGATATCATGGCTGAGCCTGAGCGCTGAGCCGCGACACACACACACACACACACACACACACACACACACACACACACACACACACACACACACACACACACACACACACACACACACACACACACACACACACACACACACACACACACACACACACACACACACACACACACACACACACACACAACAATAATTTAACTTGGTTAGTTAGGGGTTAAATGCATTGTTTCTAGTTTTGTAATGGTGTTGCTATGTAGCTAAGCGTAGATTTTGTGCATTATTAAGTTGTATTACTGTATATTAAAGCACAGATAGATGACCGATGACCTTTCAGATATTATTTTGGCACTGTTAACTAGACTAAAGAGCCTCGAGCCATCAAATCCCACAGGAATTTAGGCTACGTGACTACAGTGAACTCACACCATCATACAATCGGATAAAACACCTGTCTGACTGAACACAGAGATGATAGGCCTTTAGTGCTTGTTTGCTTTAAAGTTCATTTTTTAAAGTTACGTAATAAAAATTCTAATAATAAAATACATTAAAAAAATGTTGAATCTTCTTAATCAAAAGGACATGCATATGAAAATATTTTTCCAGATGTTTACCATTTTAAATTAAACGTTAAATGAAATAAGATGGGGACGTCATTAATCAGGCCTATGCCATGAAAAATTAAATTTATTAATGTAAAAAATAGATAAATGTATTCATGTTTTCATCTTTTTCGGTTTAGGAATAGGCCTACGTAAAATTTTAAAGGAAACTTTATTAGCCTAAATAAGCTGTCATTTTAAGCAGGCACACATAGAAATATTATGATGAATATTATATATCAAAGTCTGAGACACTTAGTGCAAAAATAAACAGAGTTACAGTTGTTTAAAGAAACTAGTACTTTCTCAACTGACCAGGCGTCTGTGGAATAATAATAACATTAATAAAATAAATGTGTGTCTGTGATCATTGCCAGCTCATCGTGCTGAGATATTCTTCTTCACATTTTTAAAGATTTTGGGGATAGTCTACTTTGTGAACCTTATTAGGTCGAGTATGTCTTTAAAAACCTGTTCTCAGAACATAAAAAGCAAAGAAAAATAGCCTAAAATATTTAGTTTCAAACGCGTTTTTACGAAACAAAAACTTTGTTCTATAATCACTTATAGATATTATTTAATAGTCATTTTAGTACTTCAACTTAAACATTGATTTTTAGTTAGTTGCCAAACCAAAGCAATATTTGGTGTGGATCTCAGACGCGGCCTTTAGATGGCGCTCTCGCTGCATGGACTGATGCAAGTTCGGTATTTTACAATTAAATCCCTGTTTTAAGATCGTTTCTGATGAAATAGAATGGTAAAATTAAATTAAAGATAAATAAAAAATATTCATAAATACTACAATAGTATATAAATAATACATAATTATATGTATTTATATATTATAATTACAATTATCTGTAATTATATACATATTCAGTGTATTAGAAATTAGTATAGTATACAAAAGTAGATCATTTATTATTCAAATGAACTTTTTAATTCATACAGTGCAAAAACTGTATTTCCATAACTCTCCACACACGCACACAGCAAAATATTTCTATATTCATATAGAACTGTAATGAATAATATACACAACACAGAGGACCGATTGAATAACCACTCTTGTCTTTCTCTCTCATTTATCAAGGTTTGTTAAATTTGTAAAAGACCATATCAAACTGTATTTTATGACCAACTATTTTGCTTGAATTTACTTTCTTTTATTGACAATTTTAAGAGAGAGAGATTTACGTGAATCACTTACCTGGAGCGTTTGTGTACATGTGTTGGCTTTGTCTTGTTTAGATATATAAATTAACATCTGAGTGAACAATTGGAGCCTGTTATCACAGTGTTTGATTCTTTGAACACATTTTTAACCTTATTCTTGTGTCCATATGTTACTGAATAATAGTCCACAGCGAGTACAGGTGCTCTAATGGACCACAAATAGGAGCTTCTGCTCTTTCATGTCTCTGGAAAAGTGACGATACGAAAGGCACTAACAAATGAGCTTTTCACGGAGACACTGACACCTGCTGGTCAAAGTCAAGTACTGCTGAGAGGGCCACACTGGTCACGTGGTAAACAGCAGGCAACTTAAAGGGATAGTTCACCAAAAATGAAAATGATGTCATCATTAATGACTCGCCGCATGAGGGGGGAGTCAATAATGACATCATTTTCATTTTTGGGCGAACTAACCCTAAAAAGGACAGTTCTGGCATTATTTACTTTGAATATTATCTAAAGAAAATACCATAAAAAATATCATTACAGTAGTGCATGCTTCAGGTGAATGAATGACAACATGAATAAAACAAAAATGTGTTTTTATTCAAAAAATCTCAAAGAAATGAACAGAAATAAAGCTTAATTAACAATCTACTAAAAACAAAGGGGAGAAAAAGAGCTTTTTTTGGCTTCAACAAACACTCCAGAAAACAAAAGAAAATATACAGAGGAAGGTTTCTGATAAACCGGACGTACAAGATACCACTGGCAAGCGTGTGGCACGTACAACAGAGAGAAAGAAATTACAAAATCAACTCTCGTATAGATATCTCTATGAAAATCTTTTTATTGTTTTTATTTTTTCAAACAGTCTGTACAAAACTTCTCTCTTCATAAATTATTACTTTTTTTTCATATAACTTAATGGCTGTCTAGTACATGATTTTTCATATTCATGAGCAATTTCTCTCTGCACAACAACTCTTTTCAACTCTTTGACCCAGACACAGATTGGCACTTCGGATTCAGATGTTACTAGCAGCATGAGCCACACAAGAACTCCACAGAAACACACTCGCTGCCACACACACACACACACACACACACACACACGTCAAGAATGGACTCGGCTGTGAGCTGAGCACCACGGATACGCCGTTAAAACTCTGTCTGGACTCGGTCTGAAAGCAATAGTATGGAAGCCCATTTCTGACGCATAAGACAAAAAAAACATGCTTCGGTAAATCATAATTATTACACAAGTCATAATTACGAGATAAAAAAGTCAAACTTATGATACTGAGAGAGATTTAAAAATTATCTTTTCAAAAATTTCAACTTAGTACGTCAACTTTTTAAGTCATAATTTTGACTTAAGTACTAATTTATCTTTTCATCTCAAAATTGACAGTCATAATTACGACTTTTAAAAATAATAAATGACTTTTTAAATAATAATTTAACTTTTTATGCCAAAAAATATGATTTATTCAGAACATAACTCTTTGTTACATTTAATTTAGTAGTAATTTGGTCCTTGTTACATGTAGTTTTTAAGTCATAATTTTGACTTAAGTATTAACTTATCTTTTCATCTCAAAATTGACAGTCGTAATTACGACTTTTAAAAATCATAAATGACTTTTTAAATCATAATTTAACTTTTTATACCAAAAAATATGATTTATCCAGAACATAATTCTTTGTAACATTTTAGTCCTTGTTACATGTAGTTTAAATCACAATTTTGACTTAAGTACTAATTTATCTTTTCATCTCAAAACTGACAGTCATAATTACGACTTTGAAATAATAAATGACTTTCTAAATCATAATTTAACTTTTTATGCCAAAAATATGATTTATCCAGAACATGATTTTTTGTTACATTTAATTTAGTAGCAATTTAGTCCTTGTTACATGTAGTTAAAGTCATAATTTTGACTTAAGTATTAATTTATCTTTTCATCTCAAAATTGAGAGTCATAATTACGACTTTTAGAGATCATAAATGACTTTTTAAATCATAATTTAACTTTTTATACCAAAACATGATTTTTTTGTAACAATATAGTACATGTAGTTACTGTAGTAATAACTTTAAATTGAGCATAATTACATGCAAACTTTAACCGTAACTCTGTAGCAAGTACCCTGTAAACCTTTATTTTAAGACGTCGTTGTTACGTTGTACTTCCTCAAATAAATACTGAGTAATATTAAATGAACTACATTACTACAGAGTTATGGTTAAGGTTAGTTACTTATGCATTATTATTATGCATAATTTACAGTTTTTACTATAGTTAGTACATGTAGTAACGTGTTAAAATAAAACGTTACCTATTTTTGTGTTATGTGTGGTAAATGGGCTTCATACCACAGTGATGTCTTGCAACTTTCAGCATCGCGGTTTCTCTCTCTCTTTCCCTCTCTCTCTCTCTCTCTCTCTCTCTCTCGCGCACGCTTTCTTGTCTACCTCCTATGGACTACTGGAATATCTTGTGATGAAAAGCAGCATTGTTTTTTGCTTTCGAAACGATGAATCTGAACGCTAAACGACACTAAAACAAACGCACAACTTTCCTTATAATGATAACAACAATAATAATAATAATAAAAAAACTTTTTGTTTGAAGAAGAAGAAGAAGAAAAGGACCAAAGTATCTGAAAAGAAAAAACCTGACAGAAATCAAGTGTACATGGACAGCTCCTGAGCGGCCCGTTTGGTCTGGAGGGGCGGGCTGAACCTGCTAGCCCGACCAATTAAAACAGAGGACAACAAAACTCTGAGGTAGATAACCGGTCAACAAGACCCACCAGGTCAAAAACACAGTCTTTTGGAAGACAAATTAATGAATAAAGCCTTACTAAAATATATCGTGAGTTCAGAAGAAAATAAAAACGTTGCGATTATTGTTCCAAAAGCGTGTCCTAAAACCTAGTGAGCTGCTTTCGTATTTCCCGAATAAGTCACGTTTTTATCATCTGAAACAATGCAGTTAATGTTACGCTCGTCTTTTCTTCCAACGTGTACAGTAGGCGGGGCTTGATTGTGTCAGTGGGGAATTGATTGGATGGTTGTGGTTTGCTATTGGCTGATCTCATGCGAGTGACAGGTTGCCCCGCCCTCGTCATCAGAGAAGCTGCAAGTGGGAGGGGAAGATGTTCTGATTCAAGATGTGCACGGATAATCAATTTATAACAAAGACGGCGATATTCCATAAAAAATATCGATTTCATGAAGTCAAATTCGCAAAATATTTCAGTGTTTTTAATTCTAAATGTTGTTTATAATGAATGCACAATATTGTCAAACGATTAATCGCATCCAAAATAAAAGTGTACATATACATAATATATGTGGGTGCACTGTGTATAATTATTTTGCATATATAAATACACACACATGCTTGTATATATTTAAGATGTATATACTGTGTATATATTTATATATAATTTATATTATATATAAATATAAATAATATTTTTTTCTTAAATATACATGCATTTGTGTGTATTTATATATATGTATATATACAAAATAATTATACACAGTGCACCCACATATATTATGTAAACACAAACTTTTATTTTGGATGCGATTAATCGCGATATAAACAATTATTTATTTTATACTTGTGTTTTGTTCTGCTCTGAATACCGTTAAATTTAAAGATGTTCATTGTGTTTATAATATTTGCAAATGTATCAGTTCATTTACCGGAATAATTTATGGAGAAATACGGCAGTAAGCGAAGCATCATATAAATCCTTCATTGAGAAGGCAATCCCATAATGCATTTCGAGTTCACTGAAAAAAATAATATGCTTATCTAATCAATAAAATTGTGGCAACATATTACAAGCAATATTATTAATTAAATTGTACAAATTAGAATTAATTAGAATATTAATTTGATTAACTATTACTCAATTCTAATTTGTTCAATTTAATAAATTATATTGCTTGTAATCTGTTGCCACATTTTTATTGATTAGATAAAGCATATTCATTTTTACAGAAATCATGGCTAAAAATAATTGATTCTAATCTAATTTTGTATCTTTACTGCAACATGCCAATGCAAAACTCTCCTGTAGTCTATCTGTATGATTTACAAATAATTATGATGCTCCCTTAGAAGGCAGCTCACTAGGGTGATTAAAACACAACTTGTCCTCGTTCCACGTTTCAGTTTCAGTTGTCTCTGCTCTGTAGTGATGTTTTCGTTTAGTTTGTGGCACTCGCTGGATCCAAATCGTCCTTCACGCCATCGGTGTCCGCGCCTCGAAGACTGAAGACAGCTGAATGCATATGTACAAAGAAGGCACATTCTCCAGAACTGCAATCTAGCCTGTTAAAAAGTGTCAGCGTGGCCCGTCTCGAGAGAAAGCGCAAAAACTCGAGATTCGTTCGCCTGCTATAATCGAGCACACGTTCACGATTTTCAGTCTGACTGACAGGCCACGCCTCCCTCCCGCCCCCAAAATTAGAATACGAGTCAAAGCTCCTCCCCCTCCCACACGAGTTCATCTAAAGCTAATCTACAACACCGAGATTTATAAACGAAAGTAAAAGGCAATTATCAAAAATGTGATCGTTCAGCAGAATTTCTACCACATTCAAACAACCAAAGGATCATGACCTCTGATTATAAAAACATTAAATCCTATGAAAACTCCATCAATGTCGTCACTCGAAACGGTAAGATCCGAAAAAGCAAAACACCGAAATCCAAAATCCAAGCGCAGCGAAATTTTTCCTTTTTGCGAGATGCTAAAAAAGCCCTATTCAGCTGATTTACAAGGCAGGAGCCACCCTTCGGCTACCGTACGGGAAAGAGTTTAAGGCAAATCGTAGAAGACGGACAGATCGGTCAGCACACGACAGAAAAACACATCAACGACACTCACACCGCAAGCACAAACGCATCTTTCTCAGGATGTCCGGCTGACAAATCTCTAAGAACAAACATACAAAAGAAGAGAGAGAGAGAGAAAAAAAAAACAAATCTCAAATCATAGAAACAAGAATAATATCCATGCACATTGAAGTTCCTGCATCTATGTGACAATCCTTGGTAAAAAATAATCAGTTTCCTTATTAAAATAAAACTTTTCTTTTTCTTTTCTTGCCATTTCTCTTTGTTAGCATCCTCTGATGAAATGAATCCTTGATTTGCACCTAATGGAACTTATACCAAAATAGTTGAAGTAGTTTTATTAGAAAACCAAGGAACTCGTCGTAGAACCTGTGCAAAATGTCGATTCGTCGGTAGAGCCGGTCCTTCAAAGGAAGCTGTTATTGATTTAGCAGTCGTCTCCTTCTCTCTCAACCCTAGAAGTGAAGCAGAAAACTTCAAATCAACAGTTTGATTAGAAAGAAAGGAAGACGTTTGTTGTTTAGCTGATCAAAATTGACATTTAGAATCTTATAAAAGATTTTGGTTTCAAATGAAATTCTATTTATTTGTCAAATAATTCGGAAATAAAGACTATGAAGCAGCATATATAAATGTTTATCATAAATGATCATCAAATCAGCATATTTGAATGATCATGTGACTGAAGACTGGAGTAATCACAGGAATAAACTACATTTTACTATATTGGAAAGAATTATTTTAAAAGGTAATAATATTGTTTTAATTGCATGTTTCATCAAATTAAATGCAGACTTGGTGAGCAGAATACACTTCTTTCAAAAACATTTTAAACTTCCCATCACCAAAATGTATAATAATGTATTTTCCAAAAGTATCTGTACTTTTACTCAAGTAACAAAGCTGTGTACTTTGTCCGCCTTTGTTTAAATGGTTTATAGGAAAATCTCAGTGGATTCGATATTCAAAAGCGTACGGTAAAATGACACACGAGCCGGTACATGATGTATACGTACCTCTTCATCACTTGGCCTGCTGATAGGTATAAGGTGAATGATCACTGGACGAATCCACCTGAGGTTGTGGACTGTTCTCCTGCAACAAAACATCATGCTTCAGTTTCTCACACTTAGGCACCAAATCAATGTCATCATACAAGCTGAAATCAGAACAGAGATCTGAAGCACTAATATAATATAAATCAGTGAAATTTTTCCATTGCATATTTCGCTTATAATTTTGAAGGCAATTAACATGCGCTAATGGATGAATGTCGCAAAAACATGCTCATTTCATGGAAAAACAAACAACATAATAGGTTTCCCATTCGGCAAAAATAATACTATTACTATACAAAAGAGCCAGACCGATATATCGGCATGCCGATATTATCGGCCGATATTAGGCATTTTCCAAACTATCGGTATCGGCAGTTATAATGGCCGATAAATGAATATTTCAAAAATAAAATAAAAACGGACGAAACACGCTTGAACCATGTCATGAGTGTTGGAGTTGTATAGTTTGTCCACCAGAGGGCACTCTACACCGTTCCTGTTGGCAACACTCGTTGAGTTGGTCACGAGACATACATTGCTTGAATAACAATTAAAAGAAAATCCCCATCAGTTCTCTTAACTCAAATAAGCAGGACAAAATTTGTGACTATCATATCCAGATTTGCTGTTAAATAAGCCGAGAGTGAAGCGGAATTAATTAGTAATAGTTACGTTACGTTGCTACAGTGTAGTTGACTGACTGTCCTTTTAACTTTTGACAATGTGACTGAAGTATTTCTTTAATAGCGGGTGACCGTTATAGCAATGAGACGCATCATCTCTCCTTGGCCTGTTATATTGAAAATGTATGTTTTACAATTTGCAGTATGACGTTATCTATTGCTAAATTATGACTCATCATAGACTAGCTAACCATAAAGCTAGCTAATGCCACTATCATCAGTCTGTTCTGTTGTGACAATAAAAGAAACAAGTTTCTTTTTAAAATGCATGATCATAATATTTGAGTTGAAACTCATAAATAACTACAAATAACTATGTTAAGGAAATCTGTTAATGTTTCGTTGCGCGTTTCGAAAAATAAAAAATATCGGCCGATATATCAGCATATCGGATTTTAAAACCAAAAAATATTTGTATCGGTATCGGCCTTCAAAATCCTTTATCGGTCGGGCTCTACTATACAATACTTTATCATATATATTAATTATATAATTTTAATTAATCAACAATTGTATAATTCATATTCAAAAATATTTATCATTGCATAAATTAAAGGCAATACACAAAATACTACCCTAATGTATAAATACTTATTGTTATTGTTATTATTATGCATCATAATTGGGAGAATGTGCTTCATTGTCATGAAGATAATCAATAGCTCTAAAGACAAGTGAGCAAAATATTTTTTTTGTATTTCTTTTGTTTGTTTTTGGAAACATTCCCTGGACATGTTGTTGACACTCAAGAACATTTCAGCACGATTGCACAAGCCCAGTCTGTTCTCGAACTTTTCTCCATTTATGGTGATTGTGAATTCAGAAAGTTCTCGAGTACAGGACGAGATTAAATCTGTGTCTGGGGAAAGTGTGTGTGGACATGAACCCACCTCGACTGAGACTGCGGTGGTCTGCATGTGAGTGTATGGAGGGATGTACTGCCCCTGGAGAGCTTGACTGGCTGGCATATACTACAGGAGACACACACACACACACACACAGAAAAAACATCAACATTTGCTCCTACAAACCTGCACACTTTGCTGCTGTAGTGTTTTGTGCTCTCATTCTGTCAGCGGTTTGTGTATTTGGTTCCATGTCTGGCCTGTATATGTTTAAATATAGGCTTATACTTGTTTTGCAGCGTTTGGCCATTATATGCAGAATCAGTGTAACCCCCCCCAAAATATTATTGCACTAAAAAAATTTCCAACATAAAAGATTGTTAAAGGACTTTTGCTGATTATTTACTCACCCTCATGCCATCCAAGATGTCCATGTCTTTCTTTCTTCAGTCGAAAACAAATTAAGGTTTTTGATGAAAACATTCCAGGATTTTCTCCATATAATGGACTTCAATGGGGTCCAAACGGTTCAAGGTCCAAATGAGAGTTTCAGTGCAGCTTGAAAAATTGAACAAATCTTTTTTCGGGTCATTTCGTTCATTCAACAAACGAAATGACTCGAAAAAATATTTGTTAATTTTGATGAACTAGATCGAACAGGAGAGTCACGAACGTGCATCACAGAACAGAGCAAAGCGAGCATTTGTGCTTATAAAACTCAAACTGTTTTTTTTATTTTTGAAATGAGCGATCATCTCGCTTGATAAGACGCTTATTCATCGTCTGGAATCGTTTAAAGCCCTTTGAAGCTGCACTGAAACTCTCATTTGGACCTTGAACTGTTTGGTCCCCATTGAAGTCCATTATATGGAGAAAATCCTGGAATGTTTTCATCAAAAACCTTAATTTCTTTTCGACTGAAGAAAGAAAGACATGGACATCTTTGATGACATGGGGGTGAGTAAATTTTCAGCAAATGTTTTTTAAAAGTGAACTACTCCATTTAACAAACTTTTATGTTGGAAAATTTTATAGTGCAATAATATTAAAAAGTATTCTCGTCGCCTGATAAACTTAAGGTTGAGTCACTGTTTTAACGATGTCTTAAATACAAAATTAAAAAGCCTTAAAAGCATTACATTTATTAATTTGGAAATACTACCTTGTCTGGGTCTTAAATTGTGCTGTATGTAACTTAATGTATTTTTCCTCAGAAGTTTCATTTGTCAACCACGATTATTATGATTTTCCTTTAATAAACAGCTGCAAGTGCTTTATATTAGCAGATTTTGAAGAAACAAAGCAACACGTATGAGACCGTAGTGTGAGAAGTGTTGATTTGCACTCACTGTTCCTGCGCTGCCCAGAGAGAGGTGACCCATCTGCTGAGTGAGAGGACTCATCATGGACGTGGGCTGCAGAGACATGGAGTGATCTATAGAGGGCGATATCACTGCTCCCTATGAGGGAACGGACATTACGTTACATTTATGCACTTATAACATATCCACATATATACACTTCCTTTCATAATCGGCCCATTTTATACAATATGTGTGTACTATGTATTTTCAAGCAAAAGAATTTGCTGATCTGCGTGCTCTTTTCAAAAGGAAACGAAAATGATTGAAATTAATTGAAATAAATCATTAATTGAAATAACGCTGAAATAAAAGAAAAATGATACATATTAAATGAAGTATATAAAAAACATTGCAACTAACTGAAATAAACTCGAATATATATATTTAAGCGTTTGCAGTATGAATTTGCTGATTTGCTCTTTCTAGAGTTTTTATTGTTTTAACAAAAATGATTAAAAATCATTATTTGAAATAAAACTAAAATATAAATATTAGGTTTTAATAGAAATTTAACTTTGTACTGGAAAAATCACAATTACTATTCACACTATTCATGTCTTCATAATGTTTGACAAATAAAATGTTGTAAAAAAATTAATAAATAATATAATTCCCTCAAAGAAAAAAAAAAGTTGGAAATGAGGAACTTACGTATTTGGGTAAGTATACCCAAATAAGTACATTTAAGTAAAATTAATACTTTTAATTATTTAAAAAAAATGTTTTACTTCAATAAATTATATTTACTTAAATAAATAAGCATAAGTAAAAACTTACTTTGGGACTGGTTCCCAAAATTCCTGGTTTTTTTGCTAATTTTCACTGCTGTGCTTTTAATAAATAATAATGTTCAGTAAAAAAACAAGCACCAAACAGATCGTGGTAATCCCATGGTTTTCTTTGAAATGTATGACAGATGATGGTTTTTGATGTTTAATATGAAGTAAATGAGAGTGTGAGGCATCTGAAGTGTATTGGTGGTGTGTGCCCGGGGTCTGTCTGGGGTGTGTGTGTGATGAGTCCTGCTTTCTTACGCTGTGAGTCAGAGTCAGTATATTTAAGAGCTATGAGCCATCAGTGCCATTACTGGCCTTTAAATGCCACAGTTTCCGCATTGATGATCCACGGCACTCAGCTCTATACGCACTGACTCATAAACCCATTACACCACACATTACTTATGTACATTATACACACCCACTCAAATAGAAAAAAACACACATAGAGTCTCTTCCTGTTTGATGTGTCATTCAGGCAGCTGAGCTTCACTTATTACCTGAAATCTGATCATTACTGATCTCTCACACACACACACACACACACTTAAGGTTCTTTATGCTGGCGTGGAATTCAACGACACTGTACTACAGCATCAGGGTGTGAATTAGTGTTACACACATACACACACACACAGCAGTGTTTCCTGCACAACCGTGGCGGCTGCTGCTCTTCAAGAGTAGGAAGCACACGTCACGCATCAGGGACCGAATGTGAACTTTTATGTTGTTCTAGGCAAATTTGCTCCTAAAAGCAGCTTCTCAAATGACAGAATGGAAATAATTGACAAAAATGAATGGGTCTGTTTTTGTACGTTATTTACAGACTGATATATTCATGACCGTCTGATGACTTATGATGTCCAACTGTGTTCTTTTTCAAAGTAATGATGATAAAGCGTTATGAAAACTTAAATCTGTTTAATTACTAATTGTTTACTGGTCGTTCATAAGACAACATACAGCTATAGACGTATCTCCAGCAGAGCTTTGACATATAAATGGTATTTTTATCAACAACAACATTTTATTTTATTAAAAAATAAACTAAAATAAATAATCAAAAGTAAAATATTAAAATAAAATTATAATAATACATTATAATAATTAAATAATAATTATAATATATATATATATATATATATATATATATAAAATATATTTTTTATTATAATAATTATTATATATAATAATATTATAATATTTTTTATTATACATTTTATTTTATTATAAAATAAACTAAAACAAATAATCAAAAGTAAAATATTAAAATAAAATTATAATAATAAATTATAATAATTAAATAATAATTATAATATATATATATATATATATATATAATATATTTTTTATTATAATAATTATTATATATAATAATTTTATAATAAAAAAATTAATTATTATTATAATATTTATTATTATATGAATAATATTAATTCATTAATTAATATTAATGATTATATTAATATATAATATTATTATATATAATAATTATTATAATAAAAAATTATGATAATTAAAAAAATGTGAAATACAATTTAATGTAAGGTTTCATAGTTAACTACACTAGGTAATAAGAACTAACAATTAAAAATATTTCTTAAGCATTTGTTATGCTAATCTCAACATTCACTAATATCTGATTCAAATCAAAAGTTGTATCTGTTAAGATTAGTTGTATTTATAATAGTAATGTTAACAAAGATGTAGAAATACTGTCACGAATGTATTGCTCATTGTCAGTTGATGCATTAACTAACCTTAACTAATACAACCTTGTTGTAAAGTGTTACAAAAAAAATATATATAAAATGATAAAATAGGCTATTAAATTAATAGTGCCGCGCATAAATGTATATATTTCTTTATAAATAGAAGCTAGTCTCTTAATTCTGTTTGGATGAGCAATGCTGTCCAATATTGATGTGCCTTCGGTTAGACTTGTTAACTATATTATTTGGCATAAGTTTGTTCATTTTGATGTGCTTCGCTGCTTTAGTAAGTCTGTTTAGACTCTCTGTCAACGTAGCCCACACTATGAGCAGTTCAAGTGTAGATCTCCCACACACACACACTGTTGAGACGGATCATGAGAGACAGGCAGTGATCAGACTCACCGGATGCTGCATGATGTACGGCTGATGGGTGACCCAGGATGGATTCTGGACCTGAACGATACAAACACAGTCCCTTAAGTCAGTTCTGACGCATCCACTTCTCTGAGACCTTGATCGCTCTGGATAATGTGTGTTACCTGGTATGTGGACACAGGGGAGATGTATGGAGACATGGGCGTCTGTGTGATCATTCTGTTTGTAATACTGTAGGCGGTCGGATAGAATCTGCAGAGAGATGAAAAGGGCATATTTAGACAAAAACAGGTGAAAATCGAAACATTAGAATATCGTGCAAAAGTTATAATTTCGATGATGAATTCAAAATCTCAGAAAATTTGAATATTACATGATATCAATAAAAAAAGGATTTTAAATACAGAAATTTCAGCCCTCTGAAATGTATATAGTAATATATACTAAATATATTAGTTTCACCTTTTAATTTGAACTACTGAAATACATTCAAATTTTTCGAGTTTCACCTGTATGTGTGTGAGGCTGTGCAATATTATGAATATAGTATGAGCATGCTACCTTAAGATACTTTCTGTTATATAAATATTTGTAAATATAATTCGATCAAGTATTAATATGTATAAGTATATAATACTTGACTATTTTACTCAACTAAAAACGTTCAAGCATTTGTAGTATCTGTGCATGCTCTCTCCAGTGTGGTTATTGGTAACTAAAACAAAAATGTATTCATTGAAAATAACTCATTTATTGGAATAAAGCTGAAATAAAAAAATATATATAAATATTACATGAAAAATGTATATATATATATATAATTTTATTTTTGAAATTGTGCCATGGCAACTATATGAAAAATAAAAAATAAAATAAAAAATAATATTAAGAATCGTTTTGTTATTGTTAAAGCTGTAGTTCGCCGTTTTTCCTCTTTGTCGCCATCTCTGTTTCAAATCTGCAATTGCAATTATTCGCGGAATTATCAACTTTACGTGAGTTGTGCTTCGGCACGGCACAGCGCGGATAAACACAATCCGCGCTGAACACGAATAAACTAGAATTAAAATGAAAGCTGAAAATATACAAATACAAGCTCATTTAAAAAAAATTCATAAATACTACAATCCCTGGCAAAAATGGATGTTCACTCAGAATTTTTAGTTACTTTATAGTAAACTAACAAATCACACATATGACACCAAAAGGTTTTGCTCAATAACTTAACATTCTGGATTCATGAAACATACCTCACACAAATCCACTTATTTTTTATTAATTTTATTAATTTCCCAGAGCAAGTAGAGGAAAAAAGTATGGAATTAATCCAAGTAATAATAAAAAAATGTAAGTGGATTTGAACAAAACTTTTTTTGTGTAATTTTTATGTTGTTTATTTGCTATAATCTGGGTGAACATCCTCTAAGTGTGTTGATTCCATAATTTTTTCCAGGAGTTGTATAATACTCTATACTACAGTAACACTGGTTCTTTCTAAACTCTTATTGTCTCGTACCCATTTTGCATAGCAGCGGTGGTGGGGTCGTACGTGAGGGTCATGCCAGCCTATGAGAGAGAGAGAGAGAGATCAGTGATCACAAATTGGCAATTGAAAAAGGAAGACACAAAAAAATCATGGCAACCAAAAGAAAACAGAACGAGTGATCACTGTTTGACAGGAGAGGTTGAGACAGAGATGCACTTTCTCCTAAAATGTGAAGCGTTTAAAGACACAAGGAACCTTTACTTTAACTAATTTAACTATATAATCCCAAATTTCAAGACCTGAAAGAAATTTCTAAATTAGAAATCTTATCTTGCTGCCCAATATGTACAAACATGCCACAACCTGAGGGGCAGTAAGTGACTGACACACACACACAAATATATCCAAACATTGTGTTAAATGTTTATATATATATATATATATATATATAAAATATATAATGCTTTGGCAACATTGCTTCAAAAACTGTCATGCCAATAAAGCCCCTTTGAATTAAATTATATTGAGAGAGAGAGAGAGATAGAGAGATAGAGAGATAGAGAGAGAGAGAGAGAGAGAGAGAAATAAAACAAAAATCACATTATTCAGTTCATAGCTGTTTTTGAAGTGTTAAAAAAGCAAAACAAAAAGTGTTGTGCCACATTGTGCTTGTGAATAATTCACTAAAATACACTGAGTAAAGTTTAAAAATTACATGGATGTCATTAAGTGTGTGTGTTCAAATGCTTGATGGGGCCATCGTACATGTTATACAGTACACACACAGAGACACGCACACACACACTCTCAGTATCACTTGTGTGGCTCACGTAATATATGACTGTATTGGAGTAGCTTGTGTAAACACACACACACCCACATGAGCAGCGTTGTGTAACATCTCTGCTGTGTGTGTGTGTTTGTGGCAGGTGATGCACACGGCTGTACTCACGAGTCTGCTGTCCCCGTCTCTGGCCCAGCCTCGTCCGTTCTGCACATATTTATTTTGACTCTGACGCTTCTTCTGGCCTCCGTCCGCAAACTTGCACAGCAAGGGTTCTGACGGCGCTGTGGAGACACAGAGGAGAGCATGAACTCTCAGCGTGACGCTCACTGCTCACTCAGAACCATCAGTGTGTGACAGCAGACATGGCCCGAGCGTTACACACTTTGTTATGAAACAGTAGGACAGCTTTATGTTAAGTACATTAAACACACTCAGAATTCATCCTGTGAAAACTGTTTTATAATTGAACGTTGCGTTACCATAGAAACTGTATTTTAAATTATTTTACCAGGCTCCTCCCCTTTTGGGCATCATTAGATGTCATAATTAATGATCAAAACCTTTTCTAATCTTGACAAAACATATATTGTCTCAAAGGTTCCAAATTTTGTGACAGAATTGATATTTGGACTGAAATGTATTATATGTATACAACTAAATTCAATGGAATTCAATGGCACCCGGTAGCTATTTTTGGTACTACGCCTAAACAAAATATCAATTTTTGTGATATCAACTTCAAATTTGGAACATAACTTGGTTAGATATATGGCTTTAATTTTATAGTAATTTTAGAGTAAAAAAATATTTAGTAAAATATATATTTTATATAAAGTAAAAAATATATAGTACAGTATGTTTAATTTACTGTTAATTTAAACGTACATATCTTTTTCGTACTTTAAATTTTTTAAGTGTTTTCACTTCAGCAAAAATCTGCTGATTGTTTCCTTTAAAACGAGACCAAACTTGTATATATTTCAAAGCATTCTTGAATTACAACCGTTTAAGTTTGAATAGTGCGTTTTAACCCCCATTCTCAAAAAGGGGGGTGACAGCTAAGGAGTTAAACCCTGACATACAATCAAGCATTTTTCTTCTTGAATGTCATGTTTCACGATTATGGACTTGAAGTTGAAAAACTAAACGTTGTGCCTAATAAACAACATCCTCGTCTTGACGTAGCCCTCAAACCGTATTCAGTTTATAGCCCTTAATCCTGTAATTATGGACAATTGTGGGCACAGAGGACTCAGGTGTGATCCTAATTTTTATTTATTATAAATGTTATATCACTGTCTTCGATAAAGTTTTGTCTATCCAGTTATGGTGCTTTTTTAATATTGGGGGTATTTTTGAATTTATCTACTTCAAAAAGTACCATATTTTCAATGTAAATTATGCTTATTTTTATGTTTTATTTTTTATTTTTTTTTAACTACATTAAAATATCATTCCAATAAGTTCTTAGAGCTAAAACCTAAAGATGAAGTGACTTTGCTGTTATTTTGGCTTATTTTGGCTTATTTTAGGATGCTCTAAATCAGTTTTTCCCATTCATTTCTATGGGTTGACCCAAATACAAGATTAAGGATTTTTTTTTCACCCACTTAACATTGTAGAATTGAGTAAAAAAAAAATGTGTGTGTTCAGGAGGCAAACTTAGGAAAAGTAGCCAAGTCTTGTACCCCTCAGATCAAGGGAAGTATTTTTTAAAATTAAATTAAAACTATTTTGCCCACATTTGTCCAGAATACGGTTTTAGGGTTAACCCACTGTATACATTTTCAGCACCTATGATTCATAGTTGTAGATGCAATGCATAAATTGCACAGCAAAATCTCTACCAGTTACACATCGCCGATTTCCGTCTTAAAGCCTCAGAGGCTTCCTGGCTCGATCCACAATGACTTTCCCACAATGCTTGGAGAACAGGAATCTAATGTGGAAGCCGTCTTCGTATAATCCCCTTCCTTCCTTTCTGACATGGTCAGTGGAGACTATTTCAGTCTAATAATCCAATTAAAATTCTTAGAGCAAGGCAGAGATTCCACTCAAAGAAAATTAGCACACATTGCTTTCACTTGAGCCCCAAACGAATCAAATAAGCATTATGAACATTAGCTCCACCCAGCTTTGTAGATTTTCAGTGTTTCGTGCAGCAAGTCTGAATCTACATTCGTGCGAAAGCCGTTTGGTACATGCCCGAAAGCCTGTTTCCATTTAGACGCCATCCGAGGAGAATCATTACCAGAGAATGAATGAATGTGCTCCAACAGAGCCGCGCTGTGCTTTTATGCACAAACAAATAGAGATAAAACACACATTACAGGAGGAGTTCACCCAAAAATGATAATCTGTTATCATTTACTCGTATTATATGGGGAAAAAAGAGGCAAGGATCTTCTTTAGAAATCTTTTGTGGAAGAAACAGTGAGCAAACAATGATAGTATTTTCATTTTTCGTGAACAATTCCATTACAGTCAACGGCACACACTTACCCATAACTCCAGCTGGTGTTTTCAGAAATTTTCCATTGAAGTGAGAGATGACAGCTTCACATTTCTCTGTTGACTCCATCCTAGAGAAACAAATTATCGGTTTATAGGTTTGCACATTTGAGTATCAAACATCATTCCCATCATCTGCACCAGCAAACATGTTAAAGTCATATGATATGAAGCATAGCTAATAAAGCTACATTTCAAATATAACACTACTTTTAAAACACGGCTGGTGTCTTTCTTTTCTTGTTCAGACAAAGAGGTTTTAACTGCATCTCTCATTTAAACTTCATTTAGATTTAGATTTGGTAAGACCGATTCATTTCAGTGAATCACTTCAAACTGTTTATTTTAGTGAATCAATTTAAATGATTCAATGATTCATGCATGCCATCACTGAATGTTCAAAGAACCAGTTGTTAACTAAAACTTAAACTAATATATATATATATATATATACAGGGCCTGAAATTAACACCCGACCACCTGCCAAATGCGGGTGAATTTTTCTATTGGCGGGTAACACTGTCAATCTACCTGCCACATTGGCAGGTAGCCAATGAGAATTGAGTGATTCATAAGGATTTTTACATTTCAACTAAGTCTGCCATTGCGTTTGACTTTAGCTAAAATGTGGCGGCACATTACTGGGGTAAAGAGGCCAGCTGAAACAAACAACCAACAAAAAGATGAATACAAAGTGGACAATTGGCGGCAATGGCAAGGTTCGTGAGCGGCTGATTTATGACAGCGACTTTTTCGTAACGTTCATGCGATCAGAAGAAGACGAGGCCCTTTTCTGACTATGTTTGGATGTGCGAGTATTAAACTGTTGGTGAGATGGGATGAGATAATGTAACGCTGATGTAGCCGACAGTACAATGAGAGTTGCACAGATGTGTGTTGGGAGTTGGGAACCAGTGAGAAAATACCCGGTACCCGGTAACTTTACCAGTAATAACAATATTAATTTAGTTAATAGTTAACGGTTCCTGAACGCTGTAACTAAAAGCTGTCAGGATCTGTCTACGTGACTAAATCAGCAATCAACACAGCCGCGTGTGATTTGTTTACATACGAGCTGCGGTAGGTCTATCTGTTGAGTATATACTATATAGCCTATACTATATATGTTGAGTGAGTGTCAAAATCAATGAATAAAAAGATTTAAAAAAATGTATGTTCTTAGAGTTATTATTATTACTTGAGAGAACTTAAATGTGTATTCTTGTGAAAGTGAAAGAACAATATTGTGAAATTCATGGGGTTTTTTCACCTTTCTATAAAGGTGAAGGAAAAAAACCCCCAGAAATTTCACAATATTGTTCTTTTTACCAGCCATTTTTGAGGCAAAATATGAGGAAAAAAAAAAAGGTGGCTGGTAAAAAGTCTCAGTGGCAGGTGAATTTTTAAATCCACCTGCCACAGTGGCCGGTGGGCGAAAAAGTTAATTTCAGGCCCTGTATATATATATATATATATATACATTTTTGTTTCTTAAAATAAAATAAACGTTAACTGAAATAAAATAAAATGTAAAACTTATTTTATTTCAGCTAGCTTCCAAGGCAATATTTCTCATTTTAATTTAGTTTAACTTGATGTTCTAAAATAACTAAAACTATATATATATATATATATATAGGTTTAGTTATATATATATATATATATATAATAAAAAAGACATATTTTTTAAAAACGCAACAAAATGACTAAAACCTAATAGCTAAAAATATTTTTTAAAATATTAATAAAAACTATAATAGTTTTTCTCAATTATACTAAAATAACTTTTAAAAAGCATTTAAAAATATATGTACCTAAATATTGCTGTTTATTTTTATATTTTGTTATATTTGAGCATGTAAATTAAAATGATTAGGTGCCTAGATTATTTTAACCACAAAAAAATACACTGTTATCAATTTCAAAACAAATATGGAGATTTGTATTGATATCATCAAAAGGGTATAGAAATTGAGATTTTCATAAACTTTTGGATATGTGAAGCTATGATAACCAACATAACACAAGTTTTGTGTTATCATTAAAAACCATTGTCGTTATTTATATCGTTGTTATTTAAAAACTTGCTTCACTGATTCAAGCAGTTCAGATTTCTTTTTTCACTCAAGTGAATAACACTTTTTTTTTTTGCAAGTTTTTACTTGCACGGTATCATGAATTTACCAAGAGGAGTTCAGAGAGTTCAGTTTCCTGGCTTTCCTTGCTGATATGTCAGATACACAGTTATATTTGAAAGCAACTGACTGGCACAAAGAATCATGGGAGGGTCTGAAGTGTTTGTGTTGTGGTGGGCAGAAAGCCAGGGGCTTTCCAGGACGTCTGAATCCCGTGCCCTGATCGACGCTACAGTCTTGAACCATGATCGGGGAATTCACAAAGAATGATAGAGTTGATATGGTAATTTGGGTTCAGATACGAGACCCTCACCTGGCAAATCCGACCCCTCGGCTGGCCCCGTTGCTGTCCCGTAGGATGCGTGTGGAGACGACCTGTCCGAAAGACTTCAGCATGGCCTCTAACTCCTGCTCATCCATGGTCAGCGGCAGGTTAGAGATGTACAGGTTAGTGGGGTCCTGCTCTTGTTGCTGTCGGAAAAGAGACAAATACTGTGAAACTTGTGCCGTTTTATTGGTTATCTGATCACTGATCATCAGTGGTGGGTAGTAACATAAATCCAAAAATTTAAAGTACCTCTAATTAAATTATTAGAGCTGTGCAAAGATTAATTACGATTAATCGCATCCAAAATAAAAGTTTGTGTTTACATAATATATGTGTGTGTGTGTGTGTTTCAAACTCCTTTAAAAAACAAGAATGTCTTAACCTTAGTTAAAATACCAAGATGATAAAAACTAAATTTAACCACAGCACTTGCGTGTGTAACATATTTAAGGCTGTTTTTTGCTGATTCCTAACACATGTGCTACTGTACGTTAACGGGGAATCAGCATCAAAGTCATGAACACTGAGTTAATTCCAGACCTACTCTGGTTTAGACTTAAAAAAACAACTCTCACCCAAACAGTCTAAAATAGGCTTTAATTCTCACGCTTTAAAGGGAGATACATTTGGTTGTCGTCCGCAAAAAGGTGAAAGGACACTCCTGTTTGAAATAGATCCCAAAGGAAGCATATAAAGAGAAAATAATACAGGGCCGAGAACTGAGCCCTGAGGAACACCAGATGTTACATGAATTTCAGATGAGAAATTATGTCCTCGGCAGAGCACATATCTCCTATTATATGAGCTGAACCACTGCGACACTGTAACCCGAAGGCTCACACATGTCTATAGGCATTATATACATATATATACTAGGGCTGGGTAATAAATATCGATTTTCTCGATATTAATCGATTCTCATTTTTACAAACCGATATCGATTCTTAAATCTCAAGAATCGATTAGTCATCCTGTTTCATTTGAATGAATGGGACATTGTATCGCGGCTGCGCGCATCCAAAAAATTGCAATAATCTTTGTCCTTTGTTACTATTGATATGAAACAAAGTCTCAATTTTCAAATTACGTCCATTTTCTTTAGAAATTCAAAAACATAAATAATGTGTTGGCGCTGTGGCGTGAGATCGCTCAAGAGAAGTAGCTGCGCTGATCTCACTTCCGGCTTAATAATACCAGTCACAGCGCGAAATAAACATGAATGAGCATCTGAAAGTGTGTTAAAAGATAGAGTGCAACTTATCGAAATCCGTATATGTCACATTGATTCGCTCAATCAGCGTTTCAACCGTGGAAAGACGTCAGTTAAACAGCTTGTAATCAATGTTATGTATCGTCATATTTACCTCAGAAAACCCATATAAACTCGTTAGTCAGCTAGAAAAATAACTCTAGAGAGGAGCATTTTGCTAAATATATACACCATATTACATATGCATTATAATTTTAATGTTCTTCAATATTTAATGCATATTTGAATAAATCTGGCAAGTTTTTATGACAGTCACCATTTAAATGTTTATATTTCATATAATCTTCTTATTATAAAAATAAATAAAAGTGTAATTTAAGTGTTTGTATAGCTACAAAACAGTTCATTATTACTTCATATTAGGCTAATGAAGCCTATAGGCTACAACTAGACTCCCATAGTTTACAGCATTAGTTAAGAGATTTGATTCCCTTGAGAAAAATGGCCATTTATTGTAACTGATATCCAAAATAATCGATATTGAATCGAATCGAATCTTAATCGAAATCTAATCGAATTGCAAGCTTGTGAATCAAAATCGAATCGAATTGTGAAATTTGTCTCAATACCCAGCCCTAATATACACACACACACACATATATTGCATAGAACACCAGGGTGAGTAAATGATGACTTAATTTTCATTTTAGGGTGAACTCTCCTTTTCAGGTTTTAGTTTAAAAGGGTGCTAATAGTCACACCTGAGTTACACACCTGTAAAAACACCTGAGGCCCTCTGATCTTATCATTTATTTCAATTCACACACTGCCAGAGCTCCGTCACAGTTTATACACACTTTATCAGTGATCGGACGAACACCTGGAGATCTGACAACAGAAATCACTGACCATCCACACTTGCCATGCAATAATCAGCCTATTCATAAACCTAGTGAACTGCCTACATAGATGTCTTCTTAAAGGGATAGTTCACCCAAAAATGAAAATTCTGTCTTGTACCAACCCCGTAAGACTTTCACTCATCTTTGGAACACAAATTAAGATATTTTTGATTAAATCTGAGAGCTGGATCACTCCTCAATAGGCTTCCCAGAAAAACTTCCCTTTTGCCTCTACCTAAGCTCCGCCCACAAAAAAACCTGAATATATTCACTGTTAATCAGAATTTGATGATTAATATACAGTTATGTGGAACAAGAATGTGGACACCATTCTCACAGGTTCATGTTTTTATAGTTTGCGTGAAGAGAACTTAAGTTAAGTACTAATGATCGTTGCGATGGAAGTTAATCAATTAAAACGAACTTTAGCTGGAAAATAACTTTATTCTAGAGCTGTCATAACGCCAAAACAATCTCTGTTACTTTAATTTCCTATTATCACTGTAAAAGCAGCTTTGGAACAATCTAATGACTCGACAAATAGAATTTGACTGTGGGCGGGGCTGCCCCTTGAACGTGGGCGGAGCTACCCAGTGCTCCACGGACAAATAGAATCCAAGTAACCAGCATGATTTCCTGTCAAACGTCATTGGTTGTGGTTGGTTACTGTTCATATATGCTTTTCTTGTATCTCTGCAAAGGATACAAGCAATGCTGCCTAAGTTTTGGAAGGCTGGAAATGGAAATGCTGACTAGGTAGATAGACAGCTCATTAAGTTTTGGTAGAACCGTTAATTAAGACAGTATCTAAATACAAAGCACAGGTGAATTAAATTCATAAAAGAGGATAAAGTGAAGACATGTCTCCCTTGTCTCACACTCTCTAGCTAATAAAGGGTGAGCATTAATATTGATGAGCGGTTCATTTGCATGCGGCCCCCCATCCGAGCGGCGAAACGTCGACTGATTTTCTGCCGTAGTTTCCCTTCCATCAGCAGAAACCAAAAGAGAAACAGGCAGAGAGAGAGAGAGAGAGACTCTCCCCAGGGACAAAAGGGCCGCTCCATTAATATTCATTAACATCCTACTGCGTTCAATCTCCACCCCTAAGAGATGGAGGAAAAACGAGCAGAACAAAGAGAAGACAAGGGAGAGGCGGGATTGGATTACTAAAGTAATACGCTGACAGAAAAAAAAAAAAGCTGTCGTACCCCGAGAACGACGCTCCATCACGGGTATAACGGATGGAAGAGCAAACGAGTGCTGGAGATGCTTAAGAGCCATCAAAAACAATGTTTATTTATTTTTTGAAAAGATGTAGCTATTACAAATGACAATGACACAGAAGGTCGAACAGTGTAGCTATTACGGGGTGTTTTATGGGCCCGTTTTTGAATGGCAAATAAATTCTCATTGTGCTTGGCTTGCTCCAGGGGAGAACTAAAACGCTGGTGTGGTTTTTAAACAGACTGAAATCTAATACCACAGCTAACCCTGGTCATCCGGGTCGGGCTACACCAGACATACGGAAGCTCTTATTTAAAACGTGCTGGAAGAAAAATAGCATAAAATTTACTGAATGATACGAATGCTTTCGATGTAAGATCATATGGATCAAAAGTGAGACACTGTATTTTAAATAAATATCAATATTTTAAAAAAGTACACTCTTAGAAGAAAAGGTTCTATATAGAACCTTAAAAGGTTCTAAAGCGCTACGTATTTGGAACCCCTAAAATGCAATGCATGTGAATGATCACAAAATTTTAAAAATAATGTAATTAATCAATCACACGAAGAGTGCCATTTCAGTTTTTATCCTCCAAAAATCAGCATGATTAAAATGTGATATTAAGTTACTACAACTGTTTAATAAACAACAATTTAATTACAACTACAAAATGTTGGAGAATAATGTAATATGTGAATCTATCTATCTATCTATCTATCTATCTATCTATCTATCTATCTATCTATCTATCTATCTATCTATCTATCTATCTATCTATCTATCTATAAATATAAATATAAATGTATATTGATGTATACAGCACAAATAGAATGATTCAGCTTTGACATCACAGGGAATAAACAATAAAATATATTATTTTAAATTGTATTAATATTACTATCAATGTCTGTTGAGCCTAAGATTAAAAAAATTAAAGAGGCACAAATCGAAATTGCTTTTTAAAAATTAACTATTTCATATCTTAATTTCACAATTTTTTGTATAATTTAATTAATATTAGACTTTTTGATGAAACTCAATCATTTTAATCGTACTGAATTCAAGCCAAAAAAAAGTTCAAGCAATAAAATAAAATAAAATAACCACACTTTTATTGAAAGCAGCACACTAAAATTGGAGAGAAAATATATTAATATGAAATATCTGTATACTTTAAATATCCATGTATTCTGTGTGCATGCATTTATTTAAAATGTATTTTTATCAATATGAAGTATTGATTTATGGACCTAGTGAGAATGATGTATTTATATGCATTTAAATATATATTATATTAAATGCATAATATTTGAATATAGAAATACAAATATAAAATATGCATTTTGTACATCTTCATAAATCTTACATTCGTGTAACATTAAAAAATACGTAAGTTGGGTTGGTTGCAAAGCATTATCATGTGTGTATCGTTCCCCTTCCTCCATTAGTGCTTTTTTTTCAAGGTTTGCATGATATTTTAATGACTATTATTAAAAAATGTGTTGAAAATCTCCATCCACCTGTAGGCTAGGTTACGCCGGGCCGGTGCAGCTGGCCTCAGATTAGCGGACAGAGATCAGCTCGAGCCACTGCACGCACGCAATGCTGAGTTATACATCTCTCAGGTCAGGCATTAAGAGCTTTACGCTGATATCAGTACACAGAGATAGTGAGCAAAGACACTACATCAATCCCTATTAGCTGACCAGCTGACATTAGACACCAAACACCAATTTCCAGCACAAAAAACCCCCAATGAATATTTAAATAATTAAGTCTGAAATGTCATACTAGAGTAGTATGAAGCAATGCAGGAAACATTGGTATCAGTGTGTGTGGGCTCGCATGTGTCACCTGCTAACAATTTACTCAACGTGAACCATGTGACTTCGACAGAAAAAGCACACAATATGCGTATGGAGTAAGTGTGTGTCAGACGCAGATGGTGCAAGAGAACGTGAGAGAGAAAAACTCAGTGTATATGTGTGAACAGGAACGCATGGCATATGTGAGGGTGTAAGAAGACTATGTTCAGAATATACTATTCATATACCAAACTCTAAAAAATGCTGGGTTGTTTTAACCCAATTTTGGACAAAACCAGCCATTGGGTTGAAAATGTAATTTAAAAATGTAACCCAATGGCTGGGTTTGTCTATATTTTACCCAAAATTGGGTTAAACAATCCAGCATTTTTTAGAGTGCATGCACTAATATGTGAAGTTTATTTATGCATAGAATACCCAGATGACCCACAATGCCAAAATGTGAAGTATACAACAGAAAACACTGTGCAGTATTTGTTTTCTTCCCAAAAATCATAACTATTGGTCGCCCTGTACAGTACATCTCTCTTTTGGTTTTGCAAATATTTTACCAATGAAAAGTAAAAAGTAAAAACTGGAAGAAACACTACACACACACACACATTAAGAGCTGTCAAACAATTAATCACGATTAATCACATCCAAAATAAAAGTTTGGGTTTACATATATGTGGATGCACTGTGTATAATTATTATATATATAAATACACACACATGCTTGTATATTTAAGAAATATTTTCATGTATATAGAGTTATATATAATTTAAATTATAAATTAAATACTGTATAGATTTATATATAATTTATATTATATATAAATATCAATATTTTATATATAAATAATATTTTTCTCTTAAATATCTGCATGTGTGTGTATTTATATATATATAAATAATTATACATTATACATTAACACACACACATGCTTGTATATATTTAAGAAATATTTTCATGTATATAGATTTATATATAATTTAAATTATAAATTAAATAGATTTATATATAATTTATATTATATATAAATATCAATATTTTATATGTAAATAATCTTTTTTTCTTAAATATATACATGCATGTGTGTGTATTTATATATATACAAAATAATTATACACAGCGCACCCACATATATTATGCATATATCGCGATTAATCGTTTGACAGCCCTAATATATATATTTGAGTGTCTTAGTCTTTTATAACATGAGATTTTGGTCAAAATACAGAAAAAAAAACTGAACACTGACATAGTTATATATACAATAAACTTTATAACCTGTAAGTTGATGTAAACGTACTGCGATGCACTTACAGCCTCAGATGTGGTCGTTCAAATGACGGACAAAACACGTATATCAGAAATTCGCTGATCAAAAACCTTAATAAACTCCCATTTGAGCTTGACTTTGGTTAAAAGGTAATAATATAATAAAACATGCAAGTGTCTGGCCATAAAGAAAGGCACAATATCAACTTAGACGACTACTTATTTAAAACATTTCCTGAAGTGTTTCAGTTTTGCCCGACAGCGACGATATGCAATGCAAAAGCAATGATCACTAATGTCTCTTTCTTGACTCAATATTTGATTAAAATGATGAAAGTTTTTTTTTAAACAAAACTGGATCTTAAAACTGGAAGTTCTGTGACAACAATGCAGTGTAAGATGTTTTTGAGAGATTTGTCCTTGCATAATGTGTACATATTTTAATGCAGGCAGCATAGTAAGCTACATAGTTTTGCAAACAAATCCGGAGTGAAAGGTTCAGACACAGTGCCGTGTCACTGGGTTACTCCAGGGGCTTCCTGTCTGAGATATTGATGTCTAACCATCTGTTTATATCATAAACAAGGTGAAAGGACGAAACATCCAAGGACAACACGCCAAGATGTCTGTGCCAGAGAGAGAGCATGAAAAAAGTCCGTCCAAGCAACTCCATTTACAATACGTTCATTTGTAACATTCATTTTATAGGAAAAAGCCATAATTAAACACAGATAACCGTGCTCTTGAGCACAAACAGCACTGTCAACACTGATATACTTCAATATGACCATATCCCACCCAGTTGTGCAACTCACTTTTAATTACACACTTGCCCTTTAAATAAATATGCATGCAAATTCTGATGCTCTAATTACCTTGTTAGTGAATCATCACAAAAGACCAAGAACAACAAGTCAGAGTCAATATAAGTTGTCTTTACAAAAACAATGCGTTTTCGCAACACACACCCTCCGTTAATAAAAACCAGACGGCAATGAAACAAAACATCTTTGATTTGTTTAGAAAGGGATGGCACGGACATGCCTTAAAGCTCACTAGATTTGAGAGTCCTTGAGTCACGTGATGGGGAACTGTAATGAGACACACCCTGACTGAGGCTTTTATACGACAGGATCGTTAAAGCTTCACATGACGGCCTCCAATTATTTACTTACGCAGGAATGTAAATCTGCCGACTCCAAAATCATTCACTTTTTGCATTAAAATAAAGAGAATTTGGTAGAAAACGTGTTAAATTGTATAAAGAAAATGTCACAATGCAAGAAATCTGACATGTTCCTGAAATATTCAACGGGTGTGTCGTCTAGATGCTGCACCTGTGAGGGTGTGTCTCAATCCTCGGGTTGATGCACTCACACACACACACACACACACACACGTCACACGGAGCTGCAGGTGACAGAAGAACAGGTGTGCTCTTACCTTTGCCATCTGAGCCTGAACTCCGCTGGTCTTCAGAGCGCTGACGGCTTTCTGAGCAGCAGCAGGGCTGTCGAAGTCCACAAAGCCATACCCTGAGAGACACACAACCACAACATGCACTTAGATACGCCTTTAAAGACACCACACACACTTTCAACCTGGAAAACAAGGTGTACTAGGGTCAATCTATAGCGTAAAACTGTTTTAAAAATGTTATATTATTGATTCATTAATACAAAATAATATAATTTACCCTACAAAAAATAATTGCTTTTTTCTGTAATTTCTATTATTCTCTGTGGTGATTCAAGTAAAGTAAAGTAAAGTAAAGCAAAAAAAAAAATAAAAATCAGCAAAAATTATTAATGATTGATTAATTAATAAAAAAAATAATACAGTTTAACCTCCAAAATTGCTGCAAAAATGAATAATTTTTATTATTCTCTGTGGTGATTCAAGTAAAGAAAGTAAAGTAAAGTAAAGATGTACTAGGGTGAATCTATAGCATAAAACTGTTTAAAAAATGTTATATTATTGATTCATTAATAAAAAATAATACAATTTAACCTCCAAAAATAAATTGCTGTTTTGCTTTTTTCTGTCAATTTCTATTATTCTCTGTGGTGATTCAAGTAAAGCAAAACAGTAAAGTAAAGTAAAATAAAAAGTAAGGCGTACTAGGGTGAATCTATAGCATAAAACTGTTTAGAAACATTTATATTATTGATTAATTAATAAAAAATAATACAATTTAACCTCCAAAAATAAATTGCTGTTTGCTTTTTTCTGTCAATTTCTATTATTCTCCATGGTGATTCAAGTAAAGTAAAGTAAAGTTTTTAAATAAAAAATAAAAAATTAAATCTGCAAAAATTATTAATGATTGATTAATTAATAAATACAAAAAATACAATTTAATTTAAAAAAAAAAATACAATTTAACCTCCAAAAATGAATTGCTGCAAAAATGAATATTTTTTTATTATTCTCTGTATAGTTCAAGTAAAGTGAAGTAAAGCAAAGTGAACTAGGGTGAATAGCATAAAACTGTTTAAAAAAATGTTATATTATTGATTCATTAATAAAAAAATAATATAATTTAACCTCCAAAAATGAATTGCAGCAAAAATGAATATCTTAATATAATTTAACCTCCAAAAATGAATTGCTGCAAAAATAAATATATCTTAATATAATTTAACCTCCAAAAATGAATTGCTGCAAAAATGAATATTTTTTGTATTATTCTCTGTGGTGATTCAAGTAAAGTAAAGTAAAGTGAACTAGGGTGAATCTATAGCATAAATCTGTTTAAGAAATGATTCATTAATAAAAAATATATGTATAATTTACCCTCCAAAAATTAATTGCTGTTTTGCTTTTTTCTGTAATTTCTATTATTCTCTGTGGTGATTCTAATAAAGTAAAGTAAAGTAAATAAAATAAAAATAATAAAAAGGTGACAGTATAAAGTCCAAGATCACTGTCAGAGCTCTAATAGATGGTTCTTATAGAAAGTTAGCATTGTTATTCATGAAATGAGATGTTTTTTTGCCTGCTCAATTAGAGTATTCAACTTTAATCCCAAATAGTCATATCATCCAGAAAAACATAAATCGCTTAAGTGCACACGTATCCATGTAAAATATAATTTCTCGAAACGTTCTGGGAAGGTGCAACTCTGCTACTAAACATTTGAGAAATTATGTAATTTACAGGAAAAGTTACCAGACAATAAAGATCTAAAATAACATTTTTCAATGCACAAAACGCCAACAGACACAGGACCTGTTGTGAGCGTGTGCAGAGCGTGGCTGAAAGCGTTTGCATCTTATCAGTGAGTGTGTCGTGAGAGTGAGAGAAGTGCTGCACTATCAGTGTTTGCTTCCCCTAATGAGAACAATTAAATGGACACGAGGAAGCCGATCCAAGATAAGTCCTTACGTTCAGCTCCTCCCTTCACACTCCTCTCTGTTGCTATATTTAATCTGCGAACAGGTCAAACCACAAACTCAGCTAGCACACAACATCCTGACTAATAGCTCGCATACATATGACGTATACAGGACAAAGAAACACTCACTAAACGCAGCCACAGGTATGATCCATCTGCTACGGACAGCAACGTCATTTCATATCAGATCAGATCAAATTGTTAAGATGTAAAAGAAAACACAATGTGGTGTTTAGCAAAGCTGATTTAATCGGATTTAAACTTTGAAAACGCATAAGAGTGATTCTTTTTCATCACAGGAACCAACATTTCAGCCAAATCTTTCACTGTAGTGAAGTTGATTCAAAACGTTTAATGCAAGAAGTTAAATACATTTATATAAACATTAAACACATTTATATTGATCAAGCTAACACAGAGAAATAAACAGCAATATTTTCCTATATATATTTTTTTTTTACTAAAACATTTTAATATATGAAAAATGGAGAGCCTTCTTGAGGAATGTGGAGTGATGTTGCAAATGATTCATTGAATCAGGTTCAAACTGATTCACTGAAACTGACACTTTGAAATGATTCATGGAAAAAAAGGAAAGATAACAATTTAATTACAATAAAATAATAAATAATTTAATTACATTAAAAATTAAAGTAAAATAAAATAAAAAATAATTTGCTAAATCAACTTTAACCCATATCTTCCAAAAAAGCATAAATTGACACATTTATCTTCTTCTTATAGATAATGAAGCCTATAAAGCCCACTGAATCATATTTGGCCTTACAATCAATTTCTAAGGCGTCTAACTGATCAAAACTGCTATAAAATCTCCTTTTGTACTCAAACTGTCATATTGATTAGTATAATTGTAAAAGCGTTCATCTTCAGTTTTTTTGCTGTAAAATCTTTATAAAGTAAACATAGGAATAACTTTATATAGTTAATAACAGTTCAAAATGAGCACTTAATGGACTGAAGCAACTTATTACTTGATTATCCACACATTATTAAGTACTCAAATATGATCATAAAGGCTTTTAATAAACGTTTATTTGTTCATCTCTCAATCATCATTGTATTGCATTGCATAGGCTTGCAACAGCTTTTAAATATAATCTTTCTAAGACATATTACTGGGAGATATAGTGACGACTGATATTTATATGCATTTTATGCAAGCAGTCCGATGTCAAAATCTCATTGATTTACATGACAAGCAATATTTTTGTCCATATAAATATCATTATCTGCACCAAATTGTACTTTTTTTTAAATAGTGTTTTTTCCTCCTCAAATATGAGCTCCATATTCTCACTATATCATAATAATATGAGACACAAAAGCCTGATGTATTAAATGTGATGGTTTTTAGATTTCTCAAAATATTTTAAGTTTCAATAAACTGTTCAATTTAAAAAAAAAATATTATTATTAGGTCAGGGTCACTTAAATTAAATGTGAAACTAGTCTAAACCAGAAACGATTGTATGTATAACGATATGATCTTTACCCGCTAAATCACTTCGAAAACATTGCACGAATACAGTGAGGTTAGTGTTTATCAGTTTGATGTGAAAGTGAAAGTCGGGTTTGACTGGTTAGATAATAGGTTGGGTTTAGATGATTTGCATTAGTGCACCACAGGGATACTCGGGGGTTAACATTTTCCGTCCGGCTTCTTTAAAATTCCTGCGGGGTTGAGAAGGGCTGGACTACAGGAAACTAAGACGTGAAACCGGTCCATCAACACCCTCCTCGGGCCTGACTGAAATTACTCAGCACATAAATAATCCACAGCGCTGTGACTAAGCCACATGCTCCAGGGCAGGCGTGCCCCGAGGTGCCAAGCCCAGGAACCGAGCCAGATCCTGGAACAAACCCCACAGGCCTCAGTCAGGACACCGAGGCCAGGACGGGATTAACAGCGAGGGGTCTGGGAAGCAGCGACTGCGTATCTGGTTCCCCATACACCCACACGACAGCATAACTGTGCAGTGACGGAGAGCAGGGCGTAAACACACGCCTGCATAAACACTTGTATAATATACTGCAAATATAATTAATCAACACAGCACTGAAAAAAATAATATGCTTTATCTAATCAATAAAATTGTGGCAACATATTACAAGCAATATTATTAATTAAATTGTACAAATTAGAATTAATTAGAATATTAATTTGATTAACTAATAAATAATATTGCTTGTAATCTGTAGCCACAATTTTATTGATTAGATAAAGCATATTCATTTTTACAGTGTGGAATGTGCAGGGCTCCAGACTAACTTTTCTAGTGGTTGAACTGGTGCTACCAACTTTCTCAGTTGGTTGCACTAGCATTTGATTTGGTCGCACTTTTTTTTTTTTTTGCTATGCACTGTAAAACATATTTTCAAGATTTGTTATCACAAAATATTTTCTTTTGTCAAATCAACTTTATAATAATTTATTTAGTTGAGATAACTTATTATTTTGAGTTTCTGATGGTTAAATTAATCTCCTTCATTGTATTAACTCACTTTTTCCAGTTCAATCAACTTAAAATTTTAAGGGAACCCAAGTTACTTACTTTTTTAAGTTAAACCAACAAAAATTTTTTACAGTGTGGGATTAATCAATGCATGCTGACGAATAGTGGTTTTAATGGACCAAAGCTAGCAAATAAATCTATCTATTTACATTTGAATCATAATCTTCTGTCTTTCTATCTTTTAAAAATCATTAAACATTCAAATGTATGCATTACATTTTAAAAGATTAGAGTATTATAATAAGCTAATACAGATTTTTCGTTATCAAAGTTTATAGTTGTAACAAAAATCAGAAATCTCACACGCCCTACCTTCTGCATTTTATAATAATTTCCTTTTCCTCAGTCGAGCGATTACTCTCATCTAACCGCTGAAAAGACGTAGGAAGGGGCACATTGTTTAGTGAGGCATTTTTATTTTTGTATGCCTTAATTTGTGAATTCGTAATTGGCGCGTTCCACCATCAGTGTGCAATGCGCGTGACGTCTACGTTCGTCAATAAATAAACTGCACGTGTCTTGCGGAAGAACACCGTAGCCGGAGCTTCCATTAATGTCTATGGCGAGTCACGCAGGCACTGGGCAACTCCGCACCCGAGTCGACCCCGGGATAAAATAGTCCGAATATAAACACTTATTATAGACGTATCGCAGTGATTCAGGATAAGTCAAAAACACGGTTTGGAAAATGGATTTATGAGGTAGCCTACTCGTTCATTTTGAACATAAGTTACGGACTGCAGCAGCTGATACAACGGCGTTCTGTTGCGCGAGCGTCCACTCGCACATATGCGACCACATAAAATTTGATCTTGTACATTGCATATGCAACCAATTTGGTCGCAGTCTGGAACTCTGATGTGATACACAGTAATTAGAGGTGTAACGATACACGTATTCGTATTGAACCGCTCGGTACGAGGTTTTGACAAACACAAAAAAACGCATACGACAATTTCGGACTCAGTGTGCAAGGGCCTTTAAATTAGGGCCCTACACTCTTAGAAGAAAAGGTTCTATATAGAACCTTAAAAGGTTCTATCAGCGCTACGTATTTGGAACCCCTAAAAGGTTCTATACACTCTTAAAAAAGGGGTTCCTCTGGGTTCTATATAGAACTGGGGTTCCATACTTGGCCAATAGAACCTTTTACCAAAAAAATTGGTTCTATATAGAACCATTTTGGAGTTCCATATATGAAGCGGGGGATGGAACCATTTCTGGTTCTAAATAGAACCATTTCTTCTAAGAGTGTATGATTTTCGCAATCACGGAATCACGGAATTAGCAAATTAACGCGGAATCTAGTGTTAACGTGGAATTTCGTGGAATTTTACATATTTGGAATGAAATTCTGTTTTTGTGTGGAAGAAGAACGTATGTCTGGTGAAAATGCAGACCGGGGGAAGCAAATCTGGGCGACACAACCCCCCGTCATTTCAGCTACAATGACGAAATCAAAACAATGAAAGCATGGCGAAGCGGCTCTCCACGGTTCTGCTTTCGTCGGCGAAAAGTTAAGAAACTCGACGATATAAGCCGTCAGTGCCGAGCCGAGCAGTTCGCACGTGACTTTTATGCAGTGTTTCCCACACATAGACTAATTCGCGGCCACAAAATCAACTCCGGCCGCCACATATTGCGTTTCGTTAATTTTTTTAACGCTATTTAAAACACGCAGCATTGCATTTCCTTTCCTCGCTCTCCCTCCGTCTCTCTATCACTTATGCGTCTCTCACATACACACACACACAACGTGCACACCGCGTCAGCCTATGAGGCGCCAGACTGAACAAAAGCGAAGCGAACTCCGTAAGCGACACTGGGCGAGAGAGAAACAGAGTGTGACTTTATTTAAACTTATATAAATAAATATATAAATTTATTATAAATTAATAATAAACTTAATTTTATTATAATTTAATAATAAATTATATTTTATTTATTTATTATAAATTATAAACTAATATAATTTATTTTACTGGACAGTTTAAAAATTATAACCATGTTTTGTTGTTACTAAAAGAGTGCAGTGTTACGTTGCATCATGCAGTATTTGTCCTGAAAAGGCTACTGAGTAAATGTCTGTTACCTCAATAAATTTAAGGTCATTTCTATTTTATTTGTATACATTTTAATCATTAACTTTAAAAGCACACTCTTTTTATGACTAAAATAACAGTCAAGGGTAAAAAAAAAAATTAATTCCCAAAAATTAAAACGGAAAAAACGGAATTTGGAAAAAAAATAAAACGGATTTCATAGGGCCCTATTAAATGCATTTTAGTTCTTGCAATAGACCTTAGTCAATGAAGGGACAGAAATCGCTCAGATTTCATCAAAAAAAAAAAAAAATCTTCAATTGTGTTCCCGAAGATGAAAGAAAGTCTTACAGGGTTGGAACAGTAAATAATGACAGAATTATCATTTTTGGTGAACTAACCATTTAAAAATCAGTTTCTACATGGAGAAAATGAATGGGATTGTAATAATTATCACCGCACTGTTGCTCTGCGCTCTTTCATTATCTCAGCCATAAAAAGCAATTTTTCGGGATTAGTTAATTACATTTGAATTGAAAGTTGCTGTGCACACATTAATACAATAAGCAGCTCTCAGAGGAATATGAAAACCCATCTTAGGGCAAAGCTGCACAGATTTAGATCCACACATATTACATAAACGCACATACCTTTGCATTTGTTTGTGGTTTTGTCTAAGATGGCCTTGGTTGATACGATTTTTCCATACCTATAACAAGAACAAATAGAGATGTGTTATGGATTTTAGAACACACACACACACACGGATATAAATAACTCAGTTTGAACAACAACAAAAAAATCATGTTCGAAACACGTGAAACATGACGATACTTTGAGTGCAGATGTATACAATCAAAATTTAACGTATGTACCAGGGTTATTATTGTTAACTACATTTTCATTACTTGAAATAAAATAACCATTTACAGAAATAAAATAAAATATACAAAACAACTTATTTTATTTTAGATAATGGCCAAGGCAACATTTACATTTTTTGTGAGAAACTTATAATAAAAAATACTAAAATAACACTAATATGTATTTGCATATGAATATTGAATATGAAACGACCGTATGTGTGCAAATTAGAGTAGGATGATACAGCTTAATTTAGGTAAATGACTTTGAAAAATAATTGTAGGGCTGTCAAACGATTAATCGCGATTAATCACATCCAAAATAAAAATTTGTGTTTACATCATATATGTGGTTGCACTGTGTATAATTATTTTATACATATATATATATATATATATATATATATAAATACACACACATGCTTGTATATATTTAAGAAATATTTTAATGTATAAACTATAGTTTTATATATAATTTATATTATATAGAAATATAAATATTTGACATATAAATAATATTTTTTCTTAAATATACATGCATGTGTGTGTATTTATATATATATATATATATACACAAAATAATTATACACAGTGCACCCACATATATTATGCAAACACAAACTTTTATTTTGGATGCGATTAATCGCGATTAATCGTTTGACAGCCCTAAATAATTTACAAAATTGCTTGAATTTTAATTACCAGCAAATATATCATGAAAATATTGAATGCATTTCTGTATCACAGTTGCAAATTAAACAAAAGTCCTACAATGATATTTGAATATTTTGTTTGAAACAAGCAGTAATTTATTATTCATTCTATTTTCATTTTTGGGCGAAAAACTCCTCTAAGATGTATGTCTATAAACCAGAAAATGTAAAAGAAGTGAATCTTGAACAATGCTTGATTGTATTGAGGAATACCCTGCACACGTCTAGGGCCAGAAACGAGATCTTCAGGAGGAAGCGTCTCTGGAGGAGGTTAACGGAGCCAGAAACCTTATTGATTTATGAGGAGGTTATAAAAACTGCAGTGGAATGCTGTAAGGCACATGTGAGTGAAAACACGACCTTTGACCTCACAGGATGGGCACCTTGGCACCAATATGACCTCACGAATACTTCCACGGCCACCGATGGCAAGAAAAAAAGAGGGAAAAAAAGGTCATTAAGCTCTTTCAATTAATAACACAATTAGGAAAGCCTTCGTGAGATTTGAAATCCAATTACAGCAGACTCCTGAAGTCTGTGACCTCGAGGTCTGCTTCTCCAGGGCGAAGGAGGGTTATTTGCACCAATTGACCTAAAATTAATCAATTTACGAGGATCTTGCTCCTTTCTTCCTGAGCGGCTTAGGGAAGCCGTGCTTCAATCAAAAGCTCTGTGGTGTTGGGCAGGGTTTCAAGATTCAATGCTTTCAGGGACTCGGACGACACGTTTACGGCGGCCTTTTTTTCCCATCACATTAGTTTTTTATTATTAAAGAGTCATAAGCCTTGAATCAACAAACCAATCACAATCACATTCTCACTGTTAACTAGTTGCTAATTAGCATGCATGTTATTAGGATATTATCTTGTTTATATAGACAGAGAACATATTAATGCCTTATTCTGCATGACCATATTCTACTTTCCTTAATCATACCCAATACCTAAACTTAACAACTACCTTACTAACTATTAATATACAGTAATTAGGAGTTTATGGAGGAAAAATCATAGTTAATAGTGAGAAATGGACCCTTATCTAAAGTAACCAAAGCAAAAAAACTGCTGAAAATGGGACAGAAAGTCAAATATACAAGACTGTGTATGTAATAAAGTCAAATATACTTATATAGCACTTTTCACAATACACATTGTTTCAAAGCAAATCATAATTTTAATGATTATTATATGAATATTTTCATGCCTTATATACATGTAGGAGATTCGAGCCGGACTATCACGTTGAGACAATATAAACAAATCAAGCATTTGAGATTTGGTATGTATATAATATAAGTATACGTACATTATGAGTATATAATCGCTCTATGTGAGTATACTGTACTGTACATCTTTGTACACTCAGAAAAAAAGGTATAAAAGCTGTCACTGGGGCTGTACCTTTTCAAAAGGTACACTTTTGTACATTTTAGTACCTTAATGGTACACATTAGCATCTAAAATGAACATATTAGCACCTAAGATTTACATATTAGCACCTAAAATGTACATATTAGCACATGAAATGTGCATATTAGCACCTGAAATGTACATATTAACAGCTAAAATGTACATATTTGCACCTGAAATGTACATATTAGCACCTGAAATGTACATATCAGCACCTGAAATGTACATATTAACAGCTAAAATGTACATATTAGCACCTGAAATGTACATATCAGCACCTGAAATGTACATATTAACAGCTAAAATGTACATATTAGCACCTGAAATGTACATATCAGCACCTAAAATGTACATATCAGCACCTCAAATGTACATATTAGCACCTAAAGTGTACATATTAGCACCTGAAATGTACATATCAGCACCTAAAATGTACATATTAGCACCTAAAATGTACATATTAGCTGAAATGTACATATTAGCACCTGAAATGCAAAAAAAACATGAAGAAAACAAACCAAACTCGTACTTAATGAAAATAATCCCATATATTTGTCTATATTTAAAGAAATATGCATCTAAATACACATATTTAAATAGTTGAGAGCGTAGAGAGACTGTAATTCGTAATTTTGGTGCAATTTTCTTCTCTGATTCTCTGATTGGTGGAGATTTCAAAGCAGAATCATGAGTAATTCACATTATTAAAAAAACAAAACGTTAAAATAATGCGTGCTGATTGCTTCATCAAAAGCATACACGATCGATGAACGACCTTGTAGATCACAGTAGGTCTGTCTTTAACGGTTTAAATGTTAAAGGCCTAGCTCAAAATCAATTCCCATAAGGAGAAAATGAACACTTCTGTTGCACTTAATGCACAAAAATATCCAGCACACACAAATATCAAATAAAATACATTCAAAGCACTTTAAACAAAGAATAAAAGTGATGCTGCCTTAGAATTTAGCCGACTTTTTGATCCCGTTGAATGCAGCCTACGTAGGCATCTCACTAGGTTTTGGCACAGAGCGAACGCGTTATGAAAAGTTGATAAATTTCATTCATTAATCTCGTGTCCAGAGAGACAACACAACAGCGTTTATGGGCCTTTTTATGCGCTTCATCGCCTGGTTTACCGGAAAACGACGAGGCCATCGGGAGGAAAAACCCGTCCTAATAGGCCGGCTCTCCATTAGCTTCCACTGAAAATCTATTACAATTGAATTTCGGCGGCCAGACAGTGGAGGAGAAGCAGGGAGACGGATTGAATGACCGAGAGAACAATGTGACTGGTGTTTCACCTGCCATTTCAGCCCCAGTCTTGATCCCATTATAGCAGCTCCAGTTACTCTCCACCAGAAGCGTATTGATCTCTAGTACGAGCTCTGGCCGATGTTTCATAACTCGGCTTAAGCAAACATCTGCTCTGTGGATGCAGTCTTCATGTATTTGTTGAGACTATTGGTGACCATAAGAGCTGTTAAAAAACAGCATTTACAACTGTAAAAAACTACTTTTAAGATTTGTAATCACAACTTTTTTTTCTTTAGTCAAATCAACTTAAATAATTTATCTATATGTAGTTCATATAACATAATATTTTGAGTTTCTAATGATTAAATCAATCTCCTTCATTGTATTAACTCAATTTTTCTATTTCAATGAACTTAAAACTTTAACAGATTACTTAATTTTTTAAGTTAAACCAACAATATTTTTTTACAGTGCTCAGATTTTTTTAAATGATTTCATAGAGACTGCATATGAAGCTGAAATATTTTCAAAATTAATGCATTCACAATATATAGATCCAGGATTTTCAAATGCAGTATAAACAATCAATTCATACAGAAAACTTGTGTATTCATGAATATGTGTGCATCTTTTTCCGTAAAAGTAAATTGTAAAAAGTAAGTTGTGTCGTACACTCTAAAAAATGCAGGGGTTTTTTAATCAAAATTTGGGTCACCCAAATGTTGGGTTAAAAATGCAATAAAAAAATTACAGTTGAAAGTGAAATTTGAAGTTGAGTTTAAATTTGAAATTATATTTTGAACCCAACATTTGGGTTTGTCCATATTTTAACCAAATTTGGGTTCAATCAACCCAGCATTGTTTAGAGTATATGTTGATATTAATTTGTGATTGCGTGGATGAGTTTATAGATTTTATTTCTATTTAATCACGTTTTGTAAATACATATATTTTTAGACTATATTTAGACTAGCTCTCTCTTAAGTATATATATATATATATATATATGAAGAGTTCAGATGCAAAAGCCTCTAAATGCCATTTGTAATTTTCTTCTTTAATGATGATTTTTATCAAGCTTGTATATTTAAGTTCAGTAATTTCACTTAAATAACAATTAATAGGTAATTATTATTGCCATTTAAGTGAAATCACTGAACTTAAATATACAAGCTTGATAAAAATGATCATTCTAGAAGAAAATTTCAAATGGCGCTTAGAGGCTTTTGCATCTGAACTCTTCATATATATATATATATATATATATATATATATATATATTGCATAACTCTATGAAACAATATAAACAGATCTGAGCATAACTACAAACCATGACATTCATTTAAGAAATTTTTGTTGACGTTTCCTGGTTTGGAAATCACAACTAGCTGGTGTGTAGATGGTGTGTAGATTTTTATGGGAAGCTAACACAAGTGTCAAGCGCAAAGCGCTAGTAACTTTGTGGGC